CGAATATTTTGGAAAGTTTCTTAAATACAAAAAAATTCTTTTGCAGAAATAAAAGTCAATAGTTAAAAAAAAAAAAAAAAATTAAAGTATTTACTGGTTGAGACTTTTGAAAATTCCATTCATAAGATCACTGGCCAATCAGAAGCATCTCCCTCAATGAATACACCAGCCTAGCAGCTAACTTCCGGAAGCAAAGTGTTTTACTACTTAGTTTGATATTGTGTCTTTGCAAATGTATGAATTCTGGGAGAACACCAGCATCGACACCGACCAGTCTCCAGACCAACCCGGTCTTCAATTTTTAGAAGCAAAGCGCTTCAACATGTTCTCTCTCCGTCAGGTACTTATCTCTTTTGGAGAATATTCTTTACGGTTGTATCACAAGTCAGGCCCTAATGGAACTCTTTTAATAACTAGTAAGAGTAGGGATTACTATGCCCTACTGCAAGTCAATATACCGACTAAGTATCAGAAGCAAAGTGCTTCACTTTCTTTCCACTTTCAGATGAAGCACTACGGGGGGGGGGAAATCACCCTAAAGATTCACAACCGTCAGGTCCAACTTGGGATACATCAAAGAACTGGCAAGAGCAGGCAAATACATCGCCTCGTGAAAACCAGTATAACCACAAAGTTCCAAAATTTCAATCAGAAATCTTATATAATTACTAACAGCTTGTAAAGATGCTTTAAGTGATTATTAATTTTAGCAATATTCAGTAAGGAATCGATATGTAACCACATTAATGTAAGATAATAAGTAGCATCAGGCTGTTCACTATACAGATGTTCAATCATTTGTAAAAAGCTTTTAAACTACCTAACTGGGAAGGCTGTAAAAGAGGCTTCAAAAATAATCCCGCTGTAGGTCATAAGTTTCTACTGAATTACAAATTTCTTGGGCATCTCATGAAATTGATTTGCTTTGTTATTTTAATGATAGGGTTCATTTGTTAAAAGACAAATTTTGGAGTGGGGATTTTCTCCTACTTGTTCTTTCATTGTGGAAAAATTACAAATAGTCTGTATTCTTTATATTTCATAGATTTCGTTTAATTTTGTGAGGCCAATTTTAACAGTAAATCCAATTTGGGACTCGGAATACGTAAGATAAATATTTTAATAATTAAAAAATTATTAAAATGATTAAATAATAATTAAAATAATTAAAAAGTTTTAAAATGTAATTAGCTCTATGCCCTAAAATCAACTGGTAAATAAATTATTCTGCTTCCCTGAAGAGCTAGATTACCCATTCCAATGTCGGTTTATATTTTTTCGTTCTGAACCTTATCATCTGTACTTTTCCTATAAGTAGTGGATTAGATACGACTTCGTATCTACTTGACAACTGATGCTAGGTGTTCGACACAGGTCTAATCTGAGGCGAACGAACCGGCTTTCTCCTCTTCTCTTTCTCTTCTATAATCATCAGACTAGCTGGTCCACTGAGTTAGGTGATCATCGCCTTCTTAGATCAAGTCGATGGAATAAGAAAAATTTAGATCTCAGTGTGATGGCCTTAGGGATTTGACTACGCAAAGTGAGGAATATTCAGAGAAGGACCTGAACAAAGAGGGAAAGTACAAGTTGAGGACAGTACTGTTACATTGGACCTACAAATATAATAAAGCAAGATGTGAATACAAACACAGATATATAGCTGAAATCAGTACAAATTATTTAAAGAGTCACAGTAATTGGTTTATATGGTTTGCCTTTTGTGTAACGTGAATATGAGCCAGTTTCCCTTAGAAAGGCCATGCTCAAATAGAATCCTGGGGAACGAGCTGGCTGCATGGGTGTTTTTGTAATTTTTCCAATGAGTAACGTAGATACGAGCCTGTGTCAATTAGAAAGTCCTTCATGAAGGCATCCCTTCCCTTAGACAGATAGCGCTTGTGTGCTTTGCAAAACTCAAATTTATTTAATTTTAAAACTTTAATTTTAAATTACTTTAAAACTTTAATTTTTCAAATTACTTTACTTTTAAAACTTTAATTTTAACTTTAATTTTAAAACTTGAATTTTGAATTGTATTCTCAGGCTTTGCTGAAGTTTAAAACTGGAAAGATATTTTATATCTATACAGAAGGCCTCGAATGTATACCCTTTTTGGTTCTTAGTTTCTCAAACTTTTATCGCAACCAAAAACGTTTTTAATAAAACAGTTAGTATATAAGATAATAAGAAGCTTACTATTATTTCTTTGCAAAACAAACCTATAAATTTTCAATTTTGTTAAAAAATAAAACGTGATATACTAATTTTGAAATCTTTTTCTTTTACTCATCCATAATAACAACTCTCTATTACAATTTCGCTAGATAACTATATATATAACATATATTATACAATAAAGCTTGTAATCTAAATGTTATTAGAAAAATTTCATCACGTTAAGTTAGGTTATTTAATTACGACAAAGCCTCGAGGGCTATCTGTCTAAAGGGGAGGGATGCCTTCGTGGAGGACTTTTTAAGGGAAACTTGCTCGTATACACGTTACACACGGGAAAAACCACGAAAACTCCCATGCAGCCAGCCCGTTCGCGGGATTCGAACCTCGGACCGAACTACCAGTGTTCAGCGACTTTACCGCTCGGCCGCTGGTGGGCCGAAACTTCATCACGACTGTTAGATTTTTATATTTAAAGTAGATGAAAATGCGCGCAAAAAGCGGATTTAGAAATTTTGAAGATTCTAGATAAAGACTTTTTATTTATGATACAGGTAGCATTAAATAATAGCTATTTCACAATATCATTCAGACGTGTAAAGATAAAAATATCTCTTTGTACGATTAACAGTGCTTTGGTATTAGTTGTAACATTCCGATGGACCACCGCTAATCCGTTGGCGACCTTTGGAGGCCAGGGGGGGTGACATATATTTTTGATGCCAGCAGATTGAATATATATATATTTCCGAACGGTATTGTTTGAAAACTGCATTCAAAATTGTCTCAGATTTTTATTCTCAGTATTTTTTCCTCCGTATAAACTGTGCTAAAAACGAAATGTACAAATTCCCAGTTCTTGTTTTGATATTTTATTAGTAGTTTGTTAACCTTGTTTTTCTATTGTACATCTTCCGTTGTATACAGCATTTGTATACTTGAGGAATTTTTGCAAAATGCCTCGTGATTGAACATGTAGGATATTTCAGCTCCAATTTTAAGCAAGTTTAGTAGATGCAAAATGTTCTAAGAATTACATTAGTCAAACGAACAGCGTCCCGAGCACTTCCATTGGGAAAAGAGTCACGAAAAAAGTGATACAAAATGGATACCGCATTTTGTATGGATTTGAAAATAAAGTAAAAAAGAGGCTTCCACCTTTCCTTAGCCCTTCCTAAAAAAAATTTTTTTCTTTTCTAAAATATTCTGTATAATTTTTTAGGACTGTCAGAATATTTACAGGCGACTAGGTTTTTTGATTGTGTACAGGGCTGGTTTAAGGACTGAAAAATAATACTACTGTGCATTTGTGTTGGAGAGAAGAAATTTTAGAAGCACATTTATCATTCAGAAATGTGTTATAAAACAGCTTGAATTTTCCGGCAGAAAAATGTTCTTTGTTTTATTTCTTAAAAAATCTGCCAAATTCTGAAACTCCAGTCAGACATTAAATATTATGTAATGGAGTATCTAACGGGAGTTTATTCCAATATGACAAAATCTTAAAGTAGAGTCACACATCATTTTATTTCTGAATTTTACCTCTCTTTTCAAGTGAAATCTAGTTCTTTTATTTTCTAATTATAAGACGAAGACATTTACAGTTCTTATTTTTACCTCAGAATTTTGTAGATATATTGCGAGGTATAGAGGGAAATCATTGTGAACGCTGAGCAGACAGATGAAGTAATAGAAATGAATTCTGTTGCTGTTGTGTGAGACTAAATAATAGTTACAATAGACGAAATATTGTCATTGTTCAGTTCCATGACAAGGGAAAATAAAAATCACTGAAATTAAAAGAATATAATGTTTCTCAATGTATAATCGACTCAAGAGATTTAAGAAACATGAACAGACATTATAGACAGTGATTCTGAGTGTAAAAAGGAAGTTCCAATAGATATTTATATGGCGAACTTTTTTTTTCTTCTAGACAAACAAGCAAGATAGTTTCAATGTTTAAATCTACTTTAATTAGCTTTCAGATGGTGAGAGGGTGACATATATTTGGCTTGCGTATTCGGAAGCAATGGACATTGCGCATTGTTATCATAGCAAATTCTTCAGTTTTCGACAAGAAGCAGACACGGTGTGCTTTGATGCTTTGGTTGCAAATTCTGGTTTACAGCGGGAATTAAATCCGCTCTAACCAGAGCTTATCGCGTAATCCCAAAGGGGCCTCACACATAAGGGCTCATCAAAATGGTCTACCATAAAGATGTGTACCTTAAGATAAAATACAGTAAAAATAAGAAAACAATGAGATGCATTGTCTCTGAAATCTCATTGGCGGGTGAGGATGCGATGACAGAAAACTAGCACTGTCCTATCAGGGGGTGTGGAGGCAGTCCTATGACTCCTGAGCTACTGAAAGTTTTAAAGTCCAAAAATTGCAATAAAATTAATACGAAGGTTACAGATGTTGAGACAGGGTGGATAGCATACATTATTTGTTTGGTTCGCAGTTATCCCCAAATAAGCGAAGCAAAGAAGCAATAAAACTTGCTTAAATTTTATAGCTGATCAATCATTCTAGATGCCGAATTTCTTTAGAGCGAAAGTGAAGGTATTAGAGATATTAATTAAATTGGCTACTTCAGGATTGAAATAAATAAAAATAAAGAGAAATTTTTTGAAAACTGAAATATGATAAAATTTTAATATTACTTTTAATTTATATGTAAATAAAAGAAGAGGTACACGGATTTACTCTCATTGGTTATTTCCAAGACGGCTGAACAAAATGAAAACTTTTAAAAGGCTCATTTACATATTTATTCAAAGGGCTTTAGAAAGAACTACGCTGGATTAGTTGCATAATGGAAGAAGAACTCGAAGTGTCAGTTGAAGAGATACAGAAGTTATTCGAGCGGGCTAGCAAGAATCATTATAATGCAAAGAATTTGGACAGGGTATTGTATACCTAACAATCAAACTATAGAAGTATAGTTTAAATGAGTGCAAAATTCTGTAGTTAAATGTACTTCCGTTTATCAAATAAGTTTTATTTTACAATGTTTCCAACTTGAACATATTTGAAATGTTCGAAAATTTATTAGGTAATCTTTTTGTGCTTTGCCTAAATTGGCCTATCATGTAACCTAATGCTGAAATCTTGTAAAGTTTAAAAAATCTGAAAAGAAGCATCTTTTTTAAGTTAAATTATAAGTAAGAAAACTACAAATTCTATGAGCATTTCAAATCTTCAATTATTTTTCTGTCGCGATTAAAGAAATGTCAGCCTTTCTTTAGTGAAACCTTAAATTCAAATTAATAAAATTTTAATATTTCTAATTATGAACATCTGAAATTGTTTCTCAAACTTCTTGAATTTTACAGACAGATTACGAGGCATTAAAATTGTGTCGAAGTCTCTTCGAGAAAGACTATGTATGCGAGGTGAGTTGGTTCTTCTCAAATGGTCTTAAAATGTTTATCTATCCACAAACAATTCATTTGACATTAGGGATATTTATTGGTATTAATGCTGCCTTCTACGAAATACTTCAGAAAATGTTAAAATTCAGAATTTAATGTCAGTTTTTAGATAACCATGGAGATCTTACTCTCAACTATCCAGCTCAAATTATTATTCCTGTAAAAGTGAGAAATGTCGGCCCTCAAGAGCAACGTTCTTCCTCCAAGTAATCTTTTTACTCACTTTATACATTCTTTTCTGTATTTAATTAATTGATAAGGTTTGAGCATGCAATTCAATAATAAATCGTATGCTTTTTGTCCGTGCAGGCCGAATACAACTGAATTTTAATTATTGTAATTACGAATCTAAATTTCAATTCAGAGCTAAAATATTTAAATATGAGTATAAAATAAATAAAATAAAATATTTAAATATTTAAATAGATGTCTAATTTTTATACTTTGTAAAAATTTTTATCTGACAAATTTTACTACGTTGTAAGAAAGAATAATTTGGTTATATGAGCTAAGATGCGCCATTTGTTTTAAGAAGTAATTTAAGCCATTAGATATAATATAAGAAGACTATGCGATTTTTGTTTAACAAAATTATTGTAATTAAATGCTTTAGAAAAATATTCGTCTGCATCATCTTTAATTAACCATGAACAAAAATGAAATTTTCTTAAAGAAGCTAATTTTTATTTCCGATTATTGGACATCCGAACTGAAGACTGTTGTTTAATCAAGTGCTAGTTTTTAAAACGAACTCTTAATGTTTTATATTTAGCAACGCTATGTACAAAGATTCTGTTTGAAATTAGATATATAGTATTTTATTAAAATTAACCCTCTTCTCTAAATAGTCTTTCATTAGAAATATTTTAAGCCATTGAATATAATATAAAAAGATTTGATTCTTGTTTAACAAAATTATTGCCATTAAATACTTTAGAAAAACTTTTTGCTCCATAATCTTTAACTAATCATATCATTGAACATTGACAAAATAAATAAATAAATAAAATAAAATAAAGAAAGCAATTTTTATCTCCGATTATTGGATAACCCAACTGAAGACAGTTTTTTAATCAAATGCTTGTTTTTAAAACGAATTCTAAATGTTTGATATCTATCAACACTATGTATAAAGATTCTGTTTAATATTAGATAGTCTTTTATTAGAATTAATCCTCAATGTCTAGATTTAACACCTTCGCGCCGACTGTCACGTATACGTGCCAGCAACGAACGCACTTATCTACCGGCCGACGTGCCAGAGCAATGTTGCGTTTTCTACCGAATGTCACGTATTTGTGCCAGTACCTTGGAACGTTTTTCAAACTATAATTTCTGCCACAAGATGGCACTGTATGCCCATATGGTTTCAGATACATGTACATTAGAGCTTCTACTCGAAATGAGAGAAGCATGACTCACATACATGTGTTTTTGATTATATAAACAAACGGGGAACTAAATGTTTCCGAATGGCGTGATTTATGACGTCTTTAAATCTCACTTTATTCGCACGTGGTAGTTGTTTATTGTAAGTAGAAGTTTTATATGCGCTAAAGCGTTGAGTATTTCGGTTTACAGTTCAGTTTTTAGAAAATAATTAGATCTTGTTAGAAGTGAATTCTTTGTTTTTACCGCTTCAATGTCGAAGCGTCGAAAATGTTTAACAGAGCATGAAATAGCAGAAATAATGCAAAATATTTCAGATATTGATTCTGAAATTCTGATATTCTGATATTGATTCCGAAAGATTAACTGAAAGACATTTTCCAAAACTTTGTTCAGAAGAGACTGATAAGAAAATGAGACGACGATGCTTCGTTTGTTCACATTCCCGGAAAAATCCTCCAAAACGGCAAATGAGTTATTACGAGTTCAAGGAATGTAACGTAGGACTGTGTGTAGATCCCCGTTTTAAAATTTTTCATACGAAAAGAGAATTTTAAGTAATATTTTTAGTTTTCAGATGTATAATGTTAAAAGTCATAAAATGGTGAGTAATTAAATAAAATGTGTAAAATATGCATTTAGACAAGAAATAAGGTAATTAAGGTATATATACATATAAATATCTATAAAGCATAAGCCGTTTAAATACTCTATAGAGCATTATTAAACAATGCGTTGATACTTCGGAAATTTCATGGATTTAGGCTTAGTAGCAAAAAAGCTCCCGGCCCTGGAGAGACGCTCGCGGAAGACACTGCCGGCCTCCGCGATAAGCGCGCGTTTTCGCTACCCGGCTCGAAGGGATTAACTATACCGAAGCTCTACCAGCAGGCTGACCGGTTAAAGCGGTGAAGTTAGGTACGAGTTCAAACCTAGGTGAACTGACTGGCCGAAGAGATGATTTTGGTGATTCTCAATGTGTGTAACTAGAATAAGAGACAGTTTTCCGTAGAAAGCTCTTCACGAAGGCATTTCTTGCCATAGGCATATAACCCTGTACTTTACCATAAGCAAATAACCTAACTATACCGAAACTATTCAGTTGAATTGTTGTAAGAAACTGCCAACGAACTTGATTATCAGATATTTTTTTATATTTGACCGAAGAATATATTTATAATTTTAATCTCCAACTTTATGTCTAAACTTACCAAACTCAATGAGTTTGAGTTTAGAAATGATTAGTTTTACTCAAGCGACAAAGCCTTGGCCACGAACAGATATTTTGTCACTTTTAAATCATCGTAATTTAAATTCAGTGCTGTATTTATAAAGTCGCTTCTAAAAAAATTGTATCAGGTTCTTATTAGGAAATGCGTATTGGGATTGCTTATTAGGGTAATAACTCTTCAGCTAATTATTGATTATTTAAATAGTCTGAAATATTTGTTTACGTAGATATGTTGTAAGAAAATGTTTGCTTCAGCACAATCGATCAAAAATTAACACTACTTGTAAGAAAGAACATGTGCACAATCTTATCATAAGTATTTAATACTGAATTTCTTGTGAATTTTTAATGAAACATTTTTTTTCGCATTACTTTACTTAGATATTTAACTGCGCACTTGAAAATATGCGTTAAGGTTTCGTTAAACGTAACTTGAGAAATATTTGACCCATTGCAAAGACAACACCTATAATTATTTTAAGTGGAACAAAGTAAGTTAATGTAATTTAAAATTTGGCAAAAACGTCCACCTTAGATTTTTATGGATTCGGAATAAAATTTATGATTTCGATAATTAGATTCTTCCCCTCGCCAGGAAGTTTTATCAGTACCGGCTGTGGTCCATTTAGTCAAACTGTGAAACTCTCTAAAAACTGAGCTAATCTAAAGTCTTCATCAGTGCCAGATGTGGTCCATTTAGTCCAATTCTCTAGTAAGGGATCCATAGATCAATAGTTTTACTCAAACTGTGTGCTAATCTAAAGACTACATTTTTTCCCTAATTTTAAATTGTAATTTTTCATTGATCTAAATCTAACTTAAATCGAATTAACGAATTATAAAAAAATTCTTCAGATAACTAATAGGCAACATTCAGTGGAGTCTGTCATCTGCATATTGCTTTAGGCTAAGAAATTTGTATTTAATTTGGCTGCTCTAAAAATAATTCAGATCCGTGCTAAAAGATTGTTTTCTTTAGATCCTTGCTTAAAGACTGACTTCTTTAAGCAAGGATGCCTACTTGCATCAGTCTTAAAACTGCAATGAAATTTACTAATAATAATTAATGCACTGATCGTATGCATGTTTTTAATGCGTAGAAATAATTGTTGGAAGAATTTGTTTATGAATAAAATTATGTAACTACTTGCATTTATTATGCATCAATGCAACTTTATCACAGTTAACTTTCAACATTTAACCTTCTCAGAAGCAAGTACTTGATGTAAAATTCTCCAAATAAATCTGTATTGCATTCCAATTTTTTTTATGCTCCATACTCTTAAAACCCAAGGTCCACCAACGGCAGTACGGTAAAGCGGCTGGACACTGATAGTTCAGTGCGGGGTTCGAATCTCCGCGAAAGAGCAGACCGCATGGGCGTTTTCGTGGTTTTCTCTATGTGTACCATGTATACGAGTAGTGTCCCTTAGAAAGTCCTCTACGAAGGCAGCCCTCTCCTTGGGAAAATAGTACTCGAATGTTTTGCTGTAATCAAATAAACCAGACCAAACCATAAAACATGGCTATTCTAAAACTCTCTGAAAACAATTAGCAACACTTAGCAAAGCTGTGATATCTTTTCAAAGCCACTCGTAAAACTCGCATTGCTGAATAAATTTACCAGTCTTATTTACAGATCTCGAAAATTAGATGTAAATGTTCTCAGGAAGTATGTTCAGGAATCAGGTGATGTCAGGGCGAAACGAAGGTTCCCTGCACCTGCCATTTTCTTTGAAGGAAAGGTAAATTTATTTTCTAACTCGTATGCTTTTATGGTTTGTTTAAATTAATTGTTTTAACTTAATTGTACATTAGTAATGTATAAAGTAAAAACGGTACTTTTCCGTTTCGCCGGCGCAAATCTCGCCAAGCAGACTTTATTGGCGACAACATACAGTAAACACAAAAATTTTTACTTCTAAGAATTCTTTTTTTTTTTTTTTTTTTTTGAAGGCATAAACATTTTAATATCGCTTAAAACTTTATAAAAAGCCAATAAATAAAGACAATAAATTTGTAAAAAGACATTAATTTAAGAATTTACTATGCTTTCATGGTTCAACATCCTAATTCGCCGGTTCATATCACGTGACTCCAAGCGATCTCATCTCACGTAAACTACTCTACAAAAATCTAATGCTCTCCGTAATTATCTACATTAATTTCAAGTTAAATCTTAATTTGGAACACAAGTTTAAATGCAAGAAATATTTCAATGCGTACGAAAGCTTACTCAGAAATTATGTAAAACTGTAGTGCTTTATTTCACTAATGCATTCTCATTAGAATTGATGAATTTAACCCTTGGCTTTTCTTTTCTATATTTTCGGCTTCGGGTAGGCGCTGTGATTGCATCCTAATTGATCTAATTACCGAAAATGGCTTTAGACATAAAACTGAACTATCTGATAAAAATTCTATGTAATTATATGCCAGTATTGAAAGAAACAATCAATCTGATAAGAAAAAGCTGCGACTTGTTTTGAAAATGAGGCGTAAAAGGTTACCAGCCAGAATATTCAGTTTGGCATCGGTTGTACCATTATTGGCGACTTTATCGCTTGCGCCGGCAAAACGGAAAAGTACCGTAAAAACGTATCTTCGTGAGGACGTGGATATTTTACATTTCAAATGAATTTTTTCCTTAAAATAAAGATTTAATGTTATCTGAGAGTCATTTCGATGAGATTCTTGGACCTGGGGCCATCAACGAGGCAAATTTGATTGCAGATTTTTTAAATTAAATTCACATGATACGCAAAGTCTGTAAAGATTTATTTACTTCGTCGTATAACACTAAGGCGAAGCCAACTGGCTGAAGTCGCGAAAACTAGTATTTAATGCGCATTATATTCACGGTGGCGAAGCATACCTGGCAGCTTGAGATAGCCGTGTTACATCTAATGTAAACTTGGGTTTGTTTCCCTCAACGAAGTTATTCTTCTCATGTCTAACGCCATTTTCTTCTTTGCGTACCCTAATGATACAATCCCATAATTTGAGTTGCAGTCTCTAAAAAGGTGAGAGCCGGAGCGAGTAAGAGCCGGTTACCAAGCAAATGGAACTGCTGTATATTAACAGTTTGACAGAGGCTGAAATTCTGGTAAACTAGGCTACTTACATGGCGTAGAGTTTTGTCTGTTATGTAAATATGAGCCAATGTTCTCTCAAAGTTCTCTATGGAGGTACCTCTTTCCTTAGGAAAGAAAGTGGAGTAATTTCTTAAAAAAAATAAAATAGAGAATTCTTAAAACATTCCGAATGAATCATCTGCAGTTAATACTTTTTTATTTGCTGTACTTTCAGAAAACGCACAATAAGCTTTATCTAGGAAGATATATGGCCTACCTTGATATTTCCAGAGAGAACATGTTTTCGTCATCAGCTAATTTCAACAACAATTTATCTAAAGAAATATATCTGTTAGATTAGTTAATTCAGTAGCTAATCTGATAATGTGCAAAATAGAATGGCGCATTTTGAGAACCATTTTATTAACAATGCTTTTAAAATAAACTGTAAAACACTTATAAAAAAATAACAAATTTCGTTGTGATTCTAGTCAAGAACTCAATTAGCTTTGAGGGCAAGCAGGTACACAGGTTCCTCTTCATCAGGAACAAAGGAATCTGCCGGTCTGGAAAGCAGAGGTCACAACGGTCGTATGTATACACTACGGCAGTTAAATGAACGAGAAAATAGCGCCATGTAACCGAAAATAGTAAGGAAATTAAGTTAATATAATTTTAAGAACGTTAGAAATGACTGTACTTGGTCATTAAATAATTAAGGTAAAACTTTGTGAATGGGAAAAGCTTCAAAAAATCCAATTCACTAACTGAAGCTCGCTGAAGAATTTTTGAATATCCAAATTCAAAATTATAATTAAATTTCCAACTATGATTAGCTATTGAGGACTTGTTAATTTCTTCTTTTCGGACATAAAATTAGTGTTTCTTGATACGAAACTTTAACGCTCTTTTAGCTTGGCCTATATAGTATCTCAAACCACATTGACACGATATGCTATAAATTCCTCAAGAATTAAGTCAGAAATGGCATCTTTAAGGCTCAAACGATGAATTTATTGATAGGTTAGAAAGTGACTTGAAAATTTAACTTCTGGCGAATGCGTGCAATTTTATAAGTGGCAAAAGTTCGTGATTGTATTTGCTTTCATTGCGCAGCAATGAAAAAAACTTTCTTCAGCAGAAAAATTTAATGTATTTTCTGTTAGATAAGATAATCTGATTAAGGTTTCAAGCATATTTCAAAATTAACATTTATATTAACTTTTAGTATTTTTAATGCTAACTATAACCATCTCTTCTTTGCAAAGACCTGCATTTTTTTCTGAGCGGAGTTCATAAACTGTTCATTAAATTGACAAAACGTGAAATAAACCTGAAGTCAAGGTTTTGTTAATTCTTTATATCTGCGTATGAAACATGCGTTTCATTTCGCAATGGTCATATCTCATTGCTGAATTTTCGGGACAAATTCATTCCCAAGCTAAAATATCTAGAATTATTTTAAATGACCCTCGATTTCTATCAGTGTGCTGGTCGTTAATGTTTAGCAGAAAGAGATTCTTTACATAGCCTTACCTTTATGATAGAGCCCGATCTATAGTAACGTGTACTTGTACGTTTCAGATATAAATTAGTATTAGTTTGATCAGATTTAGTCCTTGTGATATCGCTACAGCTCATAATATTGAATTGTTCAATTTCAAATAAGGATTTTATTCGTTATCGAAAAGATGTACTACACTTATTAAATGGAATAGTAATTCAATTGTTTGTATTTATATCTATGATAACTTATAGCATTTGCATTTTTTTCCAATTCTAGTTTGTATGTCGTTCTGCAGCAGCATGTGATCATTTATGTTCACAAGTGTTTGAAATGAGAGCGTAAGTAATTTTCAAGCTCTTTTTTTGCTTGCCTAGGAAGTTTAACTGAATTTCAGATAAAACGTTAATATGTTCTGCACTCTGTTTACGAACAAAATGCCAGTATTCTTTTATGAACCGAAGTTTGTTTTCCCTCAAAAGTCCTTCACTAAGGATTTTTCCACAGTAATCTTTTGGAGTTTCGCTGTATTCAGTTAGTCGACATTCTTCTAAAAAGAAATATAATATTTAAAAAAATATATATTAAAGTATTTCTTAACGGAGAAGTCGGATGTTCACACATTTTCATACATTCATTTCATTTATTCTAAATATAAGATCTTGTAATTTAGATCCAATTTGATAAATATTACATTCAAAGTTGCCATTAAAATTTTTCAAAAAATGTGCAAGACAATGTAATCTGCCTCAGGCAAGTGTTACAGTTCACTGTAACGCCTGCAACTTTCGTACATTTATTGAATATGACAAAGCAACAATTCTTGTCATTACTGATGAGTTTCATTTCTACATAGACAAGTAATTTGTCATAATTTTGTTTAAAAGCGAAAGAACTCACTTGAGTTCAGTCGTTTCAAAGGCTATTTTTAGCTGTTGAGAAGCGCTAGAAGCCATAATAAAGTATCTGCTGTAGGTAAAAGCTTACAATAGGGCGCCTCTTGATATTTTTGGTGATTTTTTATGACGCCAAGAATGGTGCTAAAAAAGCAATATTTCCAAAATGGCTGTTACTCAGAAACACGCTGAAAATGTATGCTACAAAAACAACAAAATTACCCATCTCGCGTGTTCTTAGCTATGTCTCATCATCAGCGTCGGATGACTACTCCACGCACATAATGCAAATCATGTAGTCCTGGAATCGATCCTCATTCTCCTGATTCTGTTATTAGCGACGTCACAGACTCTGCAAAGTAGGAATATACTAAAATATCTTCTGACAAGTGTCGCAGATGACGCTTGCGAAAATTCACGTTTAATGTGGCTCCACATGCCACTTATGGCATCTACATTAATAGCGAAAATTAAACCACCATTCATACAGCAATCAGCTATAGCTTCCTTACCCTTTCACTCTTAAATCATGAAAATAAATACAATATCTTACCAAACTTACTTCTTTGTGGAAGTGACAGGACAATGATTAAAAACAGCCAGCTAACGAAAATCAAAGGTCAATTAACGACAGTTAAAATTCCAGTAATTCAAAATACATGATTTGTAGTACGTAATACACATACCACACATCGCATAGCCCTCAATCAATACACTAGTTCCAATCAGATTAAAATTAAAAATACTGGCGCTTAACCGTAAATGGTTGCTATAACATTGGGGAAATAGTCGATTCTTAATTACCAGAAAAACGGTAATAGCTTCGGTATTTGGGCCAAATCAAAGAATCTTAGAACACCACTATGTGCGTTAAATGAATATAATGCTACTTTTAGGAGTACCCGCTGTATCCCATTTTACTTTATTTTGCTTTTAAATTTGTTCGAGAAAGTTTTCTCTGAGTTAGATACTTAATATCGTTCAGTGCTTTAGTCATACAAGTTGAATTATACCTGTAGTCTACTTCTTATCAAAACTATGTAATTTCATTTGTTCTTGGAAAGATATATATAGCATGCTTCTAAAATATTTAAGTTATCTGCAATTGAAATTACGAAGGATTAAAATAAATTATTCTGCTTAACTGTTAGAATTGAGTACCGTTTCTTTAGTTCTACTTGCCCTTTTTGAAAACATCTTCATCAGTGTTAAAAACATTGAAAGTTTTCCAAGAAATCGGAGCTTTTCTAATAATTTGTGCATCTCCAAATCAGATGATGGTGGTTCAGTGAGTTCACTAATTTTAACACTTTTACATTTTAAACAATATTTTAATTACTATATACAGAGCGTATTCTTAGGCCGCCGCCTTCAACATGAACAAACTTTATTCTCTTACAACTAAGCGAGCAACAGCGCCCTCTAGCCTTTTTCTTCAAATTACACAACACTCCCCACCTGAACTCGGTGGAGAGTTCATCTTTCAATAATATATTCTAGAATATTCAATTAATATTTCGACAATAAATCCTGGAGAAATGGTTAAATATAACAAACATGCATACATAATTATAAGCACATAAAATTTTACAAAACATTAAATGATACCTATCAGCAAGGTCAGGAGAATCAAACCTAAAAATACAAAATACAAACATTAGTTAAGTTCCATATTATATAACAATTGTATAGGCCTTTTTAAGGTACCAGTAGGTGTTTTAATTATGCAAGATCTTATTTTACCATCTCTGCCTGGCATTAATTCCAAAATTTTACCTATTGTCCAAAGATTTCTGGGATGTTTGTCGTCATGAATCAAGACAATATCGTTGATTTTAAACTGAGATGCGTTAGAGTGTGGAGGACAAATATTGGCAGATCTCAGATTAAAAAGATACTCTGATCTCCAACGCTTCCAAAAATGATTTAAAATATCTTGATGGTATTTATATCGTTTAATAATTGAATTTCTTGACCCAATCAAATTATTTGATGTTATTTTATTAGCAGGCAGAGATAGCAATCGTCTACCAACCAGAAAATGAGAGGGTGTTAGTGGAGAAGGTTCATTGGGATCGGTAAACACGTAGGTAATTGGTCTACAATTAATCATTGCCTCGATTTCAATGAGCACTGTTTCAAGCTCTTTCACAGTAAGGGATGATCGACCAATAATTTTTTCGCAAGCTGGATTTTATGGTTCGTACCATACGCTCCCAAAACCCTCCCCACCATGGACCCCTCTCAATAATAAATTTCCAATTTATGCCTCTAGCAGAAAATAATTCTTTCACAGATGAGTCACTCAAAGTTTTAAAAATATGTTTTAGTTCTTTATCAGCTCTTTTAAAAGTCTTGGCATTATCGGAGTACACGGTGGTACACAGTCCTCGGCGAGCTAAAAATCTTCGGAAAGCTAGCAAAAAACTTTCAGTGCTGAGATCAGTTACTATCTCTATATGTAAGGCACGAGTGACCGCACACGTTAACAACAGCATGTAAACTTTACCTTGCCTGTCTTTCGTAAAAAATGGACCGGCGAAGTCCAACCCGGTCACAGCAAATGGAGGCGACTCTTGGATTCTGTCTGGAGGAAGTGGAGCGATATCCTGTACCCCAGGACGAGCACTATATCGTTTGCATATCACACATTTTGCTGATGATAGTCTTAACACGCTGTCTTCCCTTAATGATCCAATATTTGTCTCTGATCTGAGTTAGTGTCGAATTAACTCCAGCATGGAATACCCTTTCATGCGAGTCCATGATGATCAACTCGGTAAACTTGCATTTTGAGGGTAATAGAATAGGATGTTTTAAATTCTCGTGACAGTCTGCAAATTGAATGCGACCTTTCAACCGAAGAATTCCCTCCTCATCAAGCCTTGGATTAAGGGAGTAGATGGAAGAATCGAGAATTGATTTTTTATTTGATAACTTAATTATTTCCGCTTGATACGATTCTCGTTGCGTAATTTTTACCCAATAATGTTCAGCTGCTTTAATCTCAAAAGCACTTAAAGGTCCATTCTCTGTAGACCTTTTCCGAAGCCTCCCAATAAATCTAAATACATAGGCAGTAATTCGAAGTAATTTTCCTAAAGAACTGAATTTTTCTATATGCAAAATTGGGGATTCATTGTTAATTACAGGTGCAGTCAAAATAATACTTTTTCCTTAACTCCAACGATTCTGAATTTGGTTGTAATTTCTTTTGTTTCGGAAAAGTTTTCAGTAGGAAAACGTAACCAGTGTGGCCCATGCCACCACAGATCATTCTTAACTAGTGACTGAGCACTAATTCCTCGAGTTAGTAAATCGGAAGGATTTTGTTTCCCTTCGCAATGGTTCCACAATTTTTTGTTGCATATACTCTGTATTTCTGTAACACGATTGGCGATAAATGGTTTCCAATTATTTGGCGAACCTTTAATCCAAGTAATGGCGATTTCGGAATCACTCCAAAAATAAACATCCTCAATTAAATCACCAAACAATTTTTTCAAATATTTATACATTCGAGCAGCCACGAGTGCTCCCATTAACTCTAAACGAGGAAGCGTGATTGCTCTTAAAGGTGCAACTCTGCATTTCGACATGATAAAGGAAGTTTTAATTTTAGAATCACTCGTACAATATCTGAAATATGCGATGGCCCCATATGCTTTAGGACTAGCGTCCGAAAATAGGTGAAGGCTTATATTCATTGGATCGTCATCAAAGAAATTTCGCTGTATCGATATTTCAGTTAAATCATTAAGTTCCTCCCGCCAAATGTTGAATTTGTCCTTAATCTTTGCAGGAAGGACCTCATTCAGATTTCTTGCATAATAATTTTCGCCCGAATCAAATGCAATAAATCCAAATGGATCGTAATTTGGGCGATACTTTGCAAAAGTTTCCTTTTGTCAAATCGTTTCCAGTAGAAAAGTCAATTAAAATCCAAATGTCCATTTGTCCTTCTCGATCATCCAGAAACATCATCCCAGACAGAACCGGAATTCACCAATTTCTTGCTTGATACTAATAAATTTCGCCCGAATAACAAAGGGTATATTGATCAGGCATAAATCCAAATGGATCAATGCTTTGCATATTTTGGCGCAATGCTTTGCAAAAGTTTTCCTTAGCGCAAATCGTTTCCAGTAGAAAAGTCAAAATTAAATTTTTTTAAATTTAACTTTATATTGTCTTCAATGGAATTCCAAATCATGCCTAAGAAATTCGATTCACTAGTTAATTTGTTATCTGATTCCTTAATCCCATCTGAGACCCATAAATCGTTTAATGCTTTAGAATTAGTTCTTAATTTTCTGAAATTCATCCCAGCATCCTTAAATATGTTAACCGCATCTACAGATAACCGATATGCATGCATCTTCAACCGTTCCTGCTCCAAAATATAGGTCATCGACATAGACAGAAGAATTTAACATTTGGAAACTGTCCGGCATTTTATCTTTATATTTTCGAATGTGATATTTTATAGTGGCGGCCAAAATGAAAGGAGATATAGTCAAACCGAAAGCTACGCGACACATTTGCATAATCTTAAAGGAGTCATTATTTTCATTAAACCAAAGAAATTTTAGAAATTTTCTATCACCTTCAGCAATTCCTATCATCAAAAAGGCTTTTTCAACGTCTCCACAAAACGCTATCTTAAACTTACGAAAATTTAACATAATGTCTAGTATATTTGGATTTAGATTAGGTCCCGATTCAAGGCAGTCATTTAACGAATTCGTGTCCTCTGTCCTTGAGCTAGCATCGTACACAATTCTTACCTTAGTAGTTTCACTAGGTCGTATCACTGCTCGGTGCGGCATAAAATATCCCAAATTTGTATCATTATTTGGACATTCCTCCACAATTCCTTCTAATATCTGGTTCTCAATTATATTTTTATATTCCCGAAAAATCTCCGGAGTTTTACTTAGTTTATTGTGAAGGTTTGCGAATCGTTTCTTAGCTACCTCAAAATTATTTCCTAGATTATTCGGACTGTATTTCCAGATTAAATTTGCCTCATATCTTCCGTTTTTAAACTGCAAATTTCTTTCAAACTGGTCTACTATTTCGCAGTCAATATCGGAATAATCATCAGAATCATTAATTCCCATATGTTCTAATTCCCAAAAACCTTTTAAATCTTTCAACACAACAGTGTTTGTCATTACCGCTAAATTTTCAGAACAATTTTTGTTTGTTTTATTTTTCTCGATTCCTGCGGCAACCCAACCAAACACAGAACTGACTGCGTACAACCCTTCAGATATTTTAATTCTTTCAGAATAAACTACATTCCAGAATTCATCCCCCCCAATTAATATCTCAACATCTATGTTATTTTTTCTTGCGCAATCGGCGATCTGCAACCCCATATGCTCCATGAAGTCTGCAATTTGTTTACTAGGCACACTGATGGACGCCGAGGAAATAACATCCGAGATCAAACATTCAATTTTTATTTTATTATTTTGTTTCCAATTCTGAATTTCGATTTCAACGACCGGATAGGAATGATTCATTGCCTTCGTCGCACCAAATGAATAAACAGAAAGTCTTTCATAACGGATTGGAGTAAGTTTTAAATGGTCGGCCAATTTTTTCGTTATAAAGGATCTGTGACTGCCTTGATCAAGAATTAATCTAGTTAATTTTGATTTATACTTAGAACAAGCATAAACTGTACAAGTTTGTAATAATATTTCCCTGGCATTACAGTCATTATTATTATCACCTTGAGGAACAGAAGCAATCAATTTTAAGTTTTGAACTTTATTTCTTTCCTCAGAATTCAAAGTCAGAGATTCAGTTTCAGTTTCATTTTTGGAATAACCTTGTTCCAACTTTTTGTTTACAAGGGATTTATTAGTACAAATCGATTCATTGTGATACATACCGCCACATTTATTACATTTAGTTTTATTTCTGCACCTTTTTGATGTATGGAATTTTTTAAAACAAGAAAAGCAGCGGTTTTCGGATCTTAGTTTCTTTAATTTATCAGAAACATTCACTTCGCATTTAAATGACTCGTGCAAATTATCACAAAAGATGCATTTTCGGTTAACTGCAGTATGAAATGCAGCCGTGGGTGTATTTTTTACATATTTTCTAGTTTCATATTTTGATTGATCGACTCGCGGAGGCACAGGATTTTTCCTTTCGCTTAATACTAGATTTGAAACTTCCCTGCATTCTATTTCCGTTTTAATAAATTGTGTTAATTCCGAAACTTCAACTTTATCTTTCGATCCTCTTTGCCGATTAAATTCCAAAACTAAATCGTCCGGAATTAATTTTAATAATATTGGAATTAATAAATGTCCATATGAGCCAGAAGTTACTTCTAAAGTTTCCAAATTACGAATCGAAACTTCTAATTCGTCATATAATTTACGTAAAGCCTTTACTTTACGTTAGCAGAATTTTTAACGGCTTCTAAATTGAGAATTTTATTCATGAATGAATTAATGATCAGGTCTTTTCGACCATATCTGTCCTTTAGTAATGCTACACAACTATCATAATTACTTTCTGTTAACTCAAAGCCTGACACAACATTCGAAGCTTGTCCCGTTAAGAATGTTTTTAAGTATACAAATTTTTGTATTTTTGAAAGCGTTTCGTTTTTATGTATCGAATTTTCGAAACTATTCCAAAATTCATTCCATTGTTTGGGGTCTCCCCAAAATTTATCAATCATTAATTTTGGTAATTTCAGCGTACTACTACTCCCACTAGAACTGGAACTTACATGCAAAATTCCATTACCACTAGACTGGTTTAAATCAGAACTTTGGGGATTCCTCGCTGGCGGTACTGCGGTAACCGCACCTAGAAACTGCTTAATTTGACTACAAGCAATTATACATTTGTCATTGTATTCTTCGCTTATACTACAATCTTCTTCAATTAAGTTAACATCAATTAACTCTTGTATTTCATCATCAAGCGTTCTCAAATTATTTTTCTTTTCGGTTAATAATTCAAACAATTCTCGTAATTCTTTAATCGAATTTTCCTCCTCCTTCAATTTTTAATTTATCTTCAATCACTTTAATTAACCTAGTAACAGACGATCTCAATGTGGAACGTTTACGTTTCAATCTATCTAACTTCTCTTCCATTTTATTTAATTTAAAAATACACCCACGACAGCAATAATAAATACTTACTAATGTACTACAAATAATCACTAAATAATTAATTTAAGATTTCCCTACCTTTATTTGGAATTCCATTGTCCCCTTGAATATGAAATATCCATTGAAATCGAAACACTTGGATCGAACACCTAAAATCTTCACAAAGCCTTAATTCCTTACGCCGATGCACCATCTAATAATTTTGTGCATCTCCAAATCAGATGATGGTGGTTCAGTGAGTTCACTAATTTTAACACTTTTTCATTTTAATAATATTTTAATTACTATATACAGAGCGTATTCTTAGGCCGCCGCCTTCAACATGAACAAACTTTATTCTCTTACAACTAAGCGAGCAACAGCGCCCTCTAGCCCTTTTCTTCAAATTACACAACAGCTTTCTTTTACTTTACCTATCTCGGAGCAGTGTCTAGTCAATCTAGAATTAAGGCTTTTTCCTACCAACTTGGACTTAAATCGACGCGCACAATTGGCTTTCAAAATAGTTTCGTCAGTTCTTTTACTAGCAGACATTTGAATGAAGCTTCGAGATGCTTTACATGTTTTGGCATTTTCCTCCCGGAAGTACATTCCTGACAATCGCCAACTAGTTTTGCCTCGACATTTCTTTAAATAAATGTAGTCAGGCAGAGAAATTTCCTGATAACACTAAAGTATTGTATGGATATTTTCTAATACTCAACCAAAGCGGGCCTTCCCTTCCGCTGTTCCCAAACGTTTAATTTCCCTACTTTCTGTATTGATTAGCAGTGTCGGCTGCCTTAACTTTTGCAGCTGGATTCGAATTCCGAAGGCCTAGGTGTTTGCATAGTCTTTGCTGAATGAGAATACTTTAAATAAAGTCTAGATGGAAATCCTTTCGAGAGATTGATGGCAGGGCAAGAGGGATACAAGGCCCTTGCATCCGTGTCTCTAGGTCATTTGTCAAAGTTGGAGCTGGGCTGAGGAAACATGCTGTTGTACATAAGGCTTCGAACAATTGCAAACAGAACCTTCTGCTTCTCGACACAATGAATTGGTGGATTAGAAAAGTTGGTAATTTTTAAAAATTAGTTACATTGTGATGACTATCTAAAATCTATTTACTATCTATAACAAAGCTATCAAAAATTCATACTTGAAAACGAGCAATATTTGAAATTTTCAGTGTAGATCATAACGATCAACAAGAATTGACTTAATGCACAAGTGCAAGTAATTTATAATAAGTATATAACTCACTATGAACTTTCTGTACCTAAAAATACGTCAAAATGGATGAAACATCTAAAAATAGATGAAAACACTTTATCGCCCTTCGCAAAGAGGTCATTTCTTTAAAGACAGCCGTCGAGTGCTTAATCAAATTACCTAACCTAAAGCTTGAATTTTATTGCTAATTGTGACTACTTTTAAGGGAAAAATTGATTTCATAAATCCTTTGAAATATTTTCATTGTTAATAATCTGACTAAAAAGTATTGTTTCTTCACTCAGTGTCTGAAAGCTTTATTAGTTTTTCAATTAAAAATGACTAAACAATATCGATGTCTTTCCTTTTGCAGGATTAGTCATCCACTTGATCCTGAGTACAGAGAAATTTTTAAGCTTTCAGAATATATAGCGGAGTAAGTAAATTTTCAAATTAAAATTTTAGTACTTTAAATACTTCGTTAAAACAGCAAAACTAGTTCATTTCAGCCTTTATTAGCTGAACCAGCTCACTACATCGCATAATATCATAAACCAGTTTCCACATGCTCTACGGTTTCTTATGAGGATTGCCATCCATAACCTTGCTAACCGTAAATTGTCTATTCCAAATGAGCTTAAGATGCGTATCTTTTCAAAGCGCATTGCAGATAAAGTTTTAAATTGAAGTCTTCTAACGTGTGAAAATTCATTTACAACTAAAATTCTTCATGAAATGTCTAGACGTTTTTATGAATTTTGTAATTAAAACCTAATTATTTACACACTTGTATATTCTTTTGCAGCTACTTGCTAAATATGGAAGACGACTTTGAATACGAGGTGAATATTCCGACTTCAGTCTATATATTGTTGTAAGTATATTTAAACTATTTCTACTGCTGCGATTCCCAGCCGGTAGGTGACTACCATAGCGATGGGCCCGAGATCGAATCCCGGAGAAGACATGGTTGTAGCTATCCGTTCCTTCAAAGGAGGCAACGGTAGCCACCTATTGGGTATTTCCACAATGAAATGGCTACAACATTCGGCCTTGTAATGGTGCAAAGCCATTAAAAAAATTCTTCACCTGAAATTTCTAAATAGCTAAAAAATCCATAAAATTATTAAAAAGCCATAAAATTCTTTTCCCCTACTGTTTTGATTATGCTGAAAAAATGTCTCCGCAGTTTACTGATATGTAGCCTAGGTAATAGCCAATACAATAATACAAGATTAGAAAAGCTTGATCATTTTGCTATAATTTATTGATCATCAACTTTAAAACTCTTGTAAATTGTTCGATGCAAATGATCAAAGTTCTGTAACATGGTTTCTATTTTCAATACGGAATTGGAACTAATTTTAGCCAATGAAAACAAACATGGCTGTCATCTTTTCGAAGAATAACTTAAAGCTTAATATTACTTTATTATAATAGAATAATTATAATTGAAAATTGTCGGAATTCTTCCTATCAAGTGACTTTTGTCCTTTGGATAAACCTTTCTCGTACACATTAATTGTCGCATATTTCCTCTAATTTTAGTATCGCGTGCTCACTTTAATAAGAAAATCGGGGTTTAGAACTTACAAAAATATCTTCCATATAAATTATGCAAGTAAGAATAATTTAAACTCTCAACCATGACCGATTAGACGTTTTCTTCAATGAAATTTTTAAATCAAAAATCGAATTTAATTTTGCTATTTCCATTGAATTTTGGATACTCTTTTGTTATCGGGACCGGATTCAGAACTGTATGTATGTATGCATGTATGTATGAAAGTACGAGTTCATTTAATGCATGAAGATACATACATATATTTGTGTGCATACACATGTGCACACATACATATACTTCTGAATGCAGTCCTGATAACAGAGTACCGACTTTTATGCAATAATTTTTATTCTGAACTTTTTGCATATTTTAGTTATCAGAAATATTAAGTAACTTCCTTTGTACTTAAAGCCGGGCCCACCAGCGGCCGAGCGATAAAAAAGTCGCTGAACACTGGTAGTTCGGTCCGAGGTTCGAATCCCGCGAACGGGCTGGCTGCATGGGTGTTTTCGTGGTTTTCCCCATGTGTAACGTGTATACGAGCCAGTTTCCCTTAGAAAGTCCTCCACGAAAGGCATCCCTCCTCTTAGGCAGATAGCCCTAGTGTGCTTTGCCATAATTAAATACACCACACCACACCACTTAAAGCCGGATTCCAATCATTTTCTTTGGCGTCTCTTTTAGCTGAACGTACATGACACCGTAATTGGATTTTAAGTTGTTACTTAACATGTATTCTTTATAATCAATATTAATCTGATCAGGTTCCTTTTTTATGATGTAAGCAAGGATTAAAATCATACAAAAGAGATCAAGCATCCAGCTCTTTTCTTCTGTGGCCCACCAGTTGCTGAACATCGGTAGTTTAACCTGAGTTCGATTCCAGTGAAATGGACTGTATACACGGACGTTGTTGTAAATTTCCCAATGTGTAATATAAATACTGTGCAGTTTCTTTTGTAGGCAAATAGTCCTCGCGTGCCTGATCAAATAAAAACTTTTATTTTTACAAGCAGTTGGACACTTGGTCATTAGGTATCCACCAGGTATGGCAGAACCCAATTAGCTGTCTCATCATCGAAAATTTTTCATAGGGTGCACCACATGGAATAATTAACTACACCTGCCAAGGGTAGTAAAAGGTTGTTGCAGCGAAACCTTATGTGGAAATCAAACCTCCGCTATTCACTATATCGTCAACAGCGATATTCGCCCGATTTTTTTCCTTTACTGCTACAGAAGAACGGGGTTTATTTACGAGTAATATTCATGCGAATGAATGCTATTACTTACATTATTTCTTTATTCATTTGGAAATCAAGCTCCTAGGTACAGCCTGCTGCAAAATAAAAGGAAAGTAATAGTTCTAAGATAGTTTACGTAAACCTCTAAGTACCTTTTTTAAATGAAATTTGAATTTAGATTTTGCAGTATAGCTCATGGATCTTCCTTTGACACGGCTTCAAGTGGTAAGAAGGGATTCCGTTGAACTGAGATTTTAATACGCGTATCTCAACTTTTATAAACAAATCTTTCAATTCTATTTCCAAATACTATCGGAAAGACTAATTTTTTGTAAAATATATTTAGTTATTAAATGGACAGTTACTCATTCTAACTGAAAAAGTTTAATCTTCTTTTATATAAAAATCAATAATTTTTGTAAAGATTAGTTTAACTGCTTTTTAGCTCTACAGAAAGTACAATGTGCGGCAGTGGAATCGAGACTGAACTGAAATAAAGTGCAACCAGAAAGGGTATCAGCATTTTGACTATTTACTGAGAAATGAACCAACAGCGGCAGTCGTGGTTGGGGGCTGAATTGTAAAGAGGTACAAGGAATTTTAGTTGTGATGGAGCTGTTTACCGAAGAGCAATATGCTTTTTCCGTACGGGCATTTTATCGAAACAATTTTATCGTGATAGCATGCCATCAGTATTGCGCGCATTACCATTTCCGATACATTAGCTTATCTAGCCCTGATGTTATTAGAAAATGAATTCGAATGTTTGAAACTACTGGCTTTACAGTGAAAATGCACAAACCGAGCCGTTTACGATCTGTAAGGAATACTGCAAACATCGAAGAGATACGACAAATGGTTATAGAGGATCTTTGAGAAAATGAAGTCGGACGACTAATGTTAAAAAGTCATATTTAAATAACATTTTGAACAAAGACTTGCATCTCCATGCTTATAAAATAAAAGTGGTGCAAGAATTAAAAGCAACGGATTGCAGTGCATGACTTGGTTCTGTCAACGAGATCTTGAGATGATGGAACGGTTTTATGAATTCGATTACATTTTACTTAGCAATAAGGCTAATTTTCATCTCACGGCCATGAAGAGAAGCAAAATTTCAGGTACTGATTTGACAGTAATCCTCTCAGAATGCATGAGTCTACTGCACAGCCCCAACGATCTAACGGTTCAGGATTTGTCCATTTTGACCCTCGAAAATGTGCGATCCATTGAAGCTCCAAAGTGGTCGTATGGGCTTCAATAGATCGCACATTTTCGAGGGTCAAAATGGGCAAATCCTGAACCGTTAATACTCAGCTATATTATGCAATTGCTGCGACAGTTTTTTATGCCATCTCTGCAGCAGTTTCAAGGCTTTCATTAAAAGAACTTGTTTTCAGCAAGATGGTGCCCCATGCCACACATTAAATCAGGCAATCGAAACTGGTCAACAGTTATTTTCGAATAAAGCGATTTCAAGAAGAGCTAATATTAATTGGCATTCTAGAATCTCCGATTTATCTCCTCTGCATTATTTCCTGTAGTTTCTTTAAAAGTAAAGTCTACGAGAATAATCCAGCAGATTCAAATCAAGGCGCAATTAAGATTGATCTACAGGGAAATGTGTGGACGCGTTATTATTAATCTTCGTTTTTGTTTTGGAGAGTGCGTGCAATGCAACGGACTTCGTTTAGACAGCATCGTTTTCGGCTCATAAACTTTCACTGTCTGTACACTACGTTTTCATAAAGGTTCATAGAAATTTTTGGTTTTTATATATACACAAATTATACTGCTCATACTCTTTTTGATGACCAAATATGATAAAATTGAATAATTTACATTAAAAACAAAGAATCGCTTCTCTATTTTTAGATAGAGAATGTACTTTCAGAAACCTATATTTAAATGAATGCTTAGTAAATTATTAGCTTTATTTCTGTAACAAAACGTACTTTTGAAAAATATTCAACATAAATTTAAATTTCATGTAAATCGGTACATTCAGAATTTCAAGTTATAAATTTATAGCAAAAAACTTGCACTATGTAATTATCGATAGCATTTAGCTTTTAATTACCTCAAACACGAAATTTCTGTAGCTTAATCTTTTTAAGTAATCAAACGTTTTATATATTAAAATTTTTTTACATGTTCCTGAAGATCATTAACTCGTCTTTCCCTTTCAGAAGTGCTCAGCTAATGGAAGAAATGAAAAAGGATATAGAGCTCCTCAAATATTTGGGAGTGCGTTATCTATGTGATGTAAGGGCAAAAAAAGTGGAATGTCCGAAGGCGTAAGTTATTCAGCTGTTTCTCTGTAAATCTAAAGAATCTCGCTATTGAATTCTAACACTTGGCCTGTTTTGCAGACTGCGTTCTGTCGAAAACATTGGAAAGGAGCATTACAAAGTCTTCAGAATTTCACAACTACCATATCCAGGTGAGTTAAATTGCTATATAAGCCAACTTTAATATTTCATTTAGATTTTACACAATAAGGTACAAATAGGATTTTCAAACTGAGTTCAATTTCATAACTAAACTGTTAGTCTGACCGAAACTGCTCATTCTAGTTACGAAAGATACCTAAGAAAACTTCTAAGGACATGATACAAAATAATCGTTAAGTAAGCATAATGCATTCATAGTTTAGGGCAAACACTTATAAAGTTCCAATAGTATTTAGTGAGCATACCGTATTAATAGGCCCACCAACGGCCAAGCAGTTAAGTCACTGAACACTGGTAGTTCGGTCCGAGGTTCGAATCCCGCGAACGGGCTGACTGCATGTGTGTTTTCGTTGTTTTCCCCATGCGTAACGTATATACGAGCCAGTTTCCCTTAGAAAGTTCTCCACGAAGGCATCCTTTCCCTTAGGCAGATAGCCCTAGTATGCTTTGCCATAATTAAATGCACACACCGTATTAATAGAGCAGATGTCTTTTACCCCTTCATACCACCTTGTCTCTTATTACCTCAAATAATAAAAAAAAAAAAAACTCGAGAATTTCACATGTTTATGTTGAGGAAATTAAAACAAAATTTTCTTAAATGAGGACGTTGCAAACTTCATTCTTTTTAACGTCTTCGTTAACTGGAGCAAAGGTTTTGCGAAGTTTTCGATGTCTTGCATGTAAAACTCTTGGCGTTTTGAGTTATTACTTTGCATGTTTCAGGAGTAGTTTTATCAAAGACTAATAATTGGAGCTCCTGTTGCATTTGATCCTCGATTAAACTCGAAGAGTAAAATGTGCCAGAACTCTTCAACTTGGTATCCACTTTGATGTTACTTTGATGTTGGTATCTTGTTTTGTCTGCAAAATAGACAAATATGCTGAAAATCGAAATCTCGTTTTTACGAATATACAGCTACTGATTAAAGAACAACGTGCAACGAATTCTTGAGAACTTAGTGTCTCCTGTATATAAAAACGCTATGAACTTGTATACGCAACTAGTACAATGAATAGATACACAACAGTTAAGATCAGACCAGCTGGACTTCGGAAACTTCAGGAACATCCAACTGACATTTAGTACCATAATGAAAATTGAAATAGCTATCATTTTCCTTTAAAGCTTTCTCAAAGTTTTTCATAAAGTTCTTCCTTGAAGTTTGGTTTTCAAACTGATATTGCATCTTGAAATATAATACAAATTTCATGATGTTTGCTAGAATTTCTATTATTTAGTCTAGTCTTTCAGAAAGGAGTATAACTAAATAGATACAAAATTTCTTTCGAGAGGTTGATGACAATACAAGACATTCGTTTATCATACGAAAATTTCAGTCATTTGATTGAAATGCGACTTGAAGGTTTTATGTGAACACTGCTTTAGAAAATCCAATCTTTCGCATTTATGAAAACAAATGGTTCTGAAATCGGGATTATAACTTCAGAAGAAACTTTCTCACTGTTAATCAGTACTGCACAAGAGGACATCAGGTTAAATATTGTAGTTTTGTTTTTAGTGCCTGTTAAACAGTGGAAGGAAAAATTTCTATGTTCTTTCTGTTCAACTGAAGACTGAAGGATACTTACTGCCAAACGTGAAAAGTTGGAGTGAAATCTGACTGGAAAGGGGACTGGTAACATTGAACTGATACACAACTTTGTGAAAGGAAAGACTGCATTATTAAGTCCAAAATAAACACAAAAACAAATATAAAATCCTATTATTCACGTCGACAGTTGCAATGTTTCATTTTTAGTTGGACTCTATAGAATACTATCATGAACCACTTACGAGAATCTGTTACAGAATTCTATTTAAGAAAATAAACATTAAACTTCAACTTCTTTAGATCTTTTAGAACTGGGACTCTGTTTTCTATAAATTAGATCAAAGATCTACAGAAGTCCATAAAATTTCAGATGTAGCTTCTAAAATTAAGCATAAGTATTTTATAACGTTCTGTGTATTTTGTAAAGGAGTCAGTTGAAAGAATTATACTGAATATTGATGGCAAAATTGATAATTTTATGCATTTGGAAACAAAATTCAAAATACAGCACCAAAAAATTGGGCCTTTTTTGCACTAAAACCTTGTAAAGATTATGATCCGAAGCATAATGCTCATATTTTTAAATTGTGGATTTTATATAGCTATCCCTTTATGATCAAAACTTGTGTTTAGTGCAGTGTTCAATCTTGCCGAGCGTATTTCCAACAGAAATGCACTCAAAAGAAAACTCCACGAAATGGGAAAAAATAGAAGCAAATATGAATCAAAATCTTGCAAATATAAATAAAAAAAGCCATGCATAGAAGACTAGGCGTATTCATGAAAAGGGTCGCTCAGTAGCAATTTTTAATTTTTAAAAATGTTTGTGTGCCCCGTTTCATTTTTGATTATTAAATTCTCGTTTGTACACGAAAAATGTAAAATTAGCATTATTTTTAATAAGTTTTTGATTTTTTAGCTTTTTAATTTAAAATATCGTATGTAATAAATATATTTAAGTATTTATTCTTTTAAAAAATGTCTAAAAACTTGTTCTACCCCTATACCTTTTCAACTCACTATTATGTAGTAAGTTATGCAGTCTGATCTCAACTTGGTTCTGTGAGCTGTTAATCGCTTGTGCAAACCTGCTTAAAGAAAACTAAATTTTTTAATTCGTTCAATTCATTTAAGAAAGGACAGGTTCTTGCATTCCTGTTATTAACTTTCTGTGAATGGTTCATACCGAATACTTTAATTTCATCAATTATATTAATATTCAACTGTTTCCATCACTCCCTTCCAGGTAAAAGTTATGCAATCCTATGCATTTAGAAAGTCCTCCAAGAAGGCATCCCTTTCCTTAGGTAAATAACCCTCCAGTGCTATGCCATAATCAAATAAACCAAACCTACAAGCGTATGAAATTTATCCATGGGGGATTGACCAGTATTCAGAATCGCGACAAGTTAAGCAATCAGAATGAAATATTTGTTAACATTCTTGAAATCATAATCGAAGCTCACCAGCGACCGAGCAGTAAAAGCCACTGAATTTTGGTAGTTCGAGTCCTGGCAAACAGGCTGGCTGCATGGGAGTTTACTGGGTTTTCCCCCTGTGTAACGTGGATACGAGCTACTTTACGTTAAAAAGACCTCCCCGGGACATCCGTCCCTGTCCGTGCAGTACCTCAAGGTGGAGCACGTAATAAGCTAAAAAAGTCGTAATCGAAAAATATTAGGTACTCTACGATCTGAATTTAAAAGTAATTCGTTGAATCTTTTCCAGATTACCAGCTTTTTAAAGCGTACACTGCAAAAAATCGGAACCCTGTGGGATTAAAGTTCAAATGGAGAAAGAAGGTATGTTTCGTTCTATGTATTAAAGTTTTCATTAATCTTAACGTGGACTGAATTGAGTATTATTCACATTTCAAGTATAGATCTTAACAAGGTTAAGATTTTATTCGGTTTCCAGATTCCCTTGAAGGGGCTTTCTGGGTGAAATGGTAATATATACTTAACCAATTCCATTTGTTCATACATGTAAGCAGTTCTTGGGTGATAGGCGATACTCGCTCATACATTAATTAAATATATTACCTTTGACATTTAACGACTACGAGAGTTTTGGCAACCGTAATTTTTCCGAATTCTTGTGGAAATAATTTTTATTTTATTCCTGTTCAACTCCCTAGTTCTGAGCACGCAACGTTAGAACTATTCGAGCAAATGCATAACTGCACTTCGTCATTTTTGGGTAACTTTTAATCCGAGGAAAGTTCTCAAGACAACTTTTATTAATATAGAATTGGTTTTTACTGTATTTTGCTTAAAGCTTTTAAATGAAGTGGAAACAATCCATTATTTCTAGATGTGGGAATATTTTACCTGAAATTCGCACCGATGAACTTGACGGAAACCTTATGTTAATAACTGCCGATAAAGTGATCGAATAAGAATTGGGAGTTAGTTCAACAGAAGTTCCTTGCGTCCTTATTCAACGAGGTCATACGAAAGTAGAGAAAAGCTGCGGAGAATAATATTCTAATATTTTGAACGAGATTACTTGAGAATAACCGTTGGTAATCAGACCCTGTTTATTTCCTGTCGTCGCTGAAAGGCGCCAACAGATTATCATCGAATACCTTTTAATGCGCAAGTGCAATGTAAACTAGATTAACAGTGAAATATTTAAAAATTTTCGAAATAAGTTTTATACATTGTAAACATCTCCAAAGTGTAACTAATCACATTTTGACAAGTTAATGGACTAGAATTTAAATAATCACTTTCCGAGCAAGCCCCTTTTATTAATAGGACTTTTGGGCATTATTACATGAATTGACCATGATTTTAGCATTCTAAGATATAGTAAAAGAATTGATTTCAGAGAAATTCATAATATTTTTCTCTGGATGTGCATAGACTAGCCCCCCTCAAAAGAACTGCTTCAGATTATAATGCTGCACTTGATAATTTAGTTTCCTCCGAGATGAATTTTTAACGCGAAAACTAATGTTTTGCTTGCTCACATTTTATTGACAGCAAATGAGTGAACAAAAATGAAACATTTACAGATATGCAAGAATGCCCACATACGTAGTACTAAGCAATTATTGGTAAATTTAGAAGGAAGCTTTAATGTATTCTGGCAACGCGGATTCTTCTCAGTTTTTTGCAAACGTGTTGCAAGTTCCTATAGCAGATTTAGGCATGATACGCTGAAGAGTTTCAAGTTCCATTTTGTAAGGATAACGGCTTCTAATTTAACTCGTATACAAAAATTTTGTTTGGGTGAAATATGCATGAGCTACAGTAGTTACTTAGCTATGAGAGCTTACTAAACGACGGGATTTCAGCCAATTCACTAGAATTTTGATAGTCGTTGAAAAGGAAACTGAATAACGTTGAAGTCGACACATATATGCAATGAATTACTATAGTCCCACCAGCGGCTGAGCGGTAAAGTTGCTGAACACTAATAGTTCTGTCAAGGGTCCGAATCACGGCGAATGGACTGGCTGCAAGGGCATTTTCGTGGCCTTTTCATGTGTAACGTGTATACGAGCCAGTTTTCCTTAAAAAGTTCTCCACGAAAGCATCCTTTCCCTTGGACATATAGCTCTTGAGTACTTTGCCATAATTAAATAAATGAAACCAAACCATGTGTAATGAATGCAATAATATGGCATGGATGCAATAAATTTCCCAAAGTCTTGTGATAGATGGTATCGAGGAAGGTTACCTAAGTGGGACATTCGCTTATATCCGGGTTGACGTCTACTTTTAAATACAAAATAGGATCGCAGACTTAAAAAAATCATTTAGGAAAAAGTTTTTAATAAAGAATGTGGCTTACATCTATCAACACAAAATATTAAATTTGCACCAAAAGCAAAGTAATTTCGATACTGATTGCTTCATAAGATTTAACAAACTCGTCTGTCTTTTTACCACTAAAATATTTTCATAACAAGAAATAATACTTTCGTTATAGCTAAAACGCGTTCCTCCTTAGTCTGCGTTCTTCAAAATGTATAACCCTTTTGAAGTTCAGCCGACGTCATCTCTCATGCTTACGATTCCCATGTTTTTCTGATGGATCTGAAGCGTTGACTTCTTCAGTAGTGGTTTACGTGAACTCATTTTGGTTGACGTTTCGTTCGCGAAATTTCTCTAGAGGAAAACTAGAAATCGAATTTATGCATGGAACTTCTGTTGTAGAAAGTCTCCATATTTTTGTGTACTGATAAATACGGGCAAAATGATCTGCAAGGTGGGTAGCAGGATACGAAGCGGGAGGGGAAATAAGATTTGGTATCCTAGGCAAGGACTATCTGATTAAGGAGAGGGATGCTTTCTGGAGGTATTTCTAAGGAAACTGGATCGTATGCACGTTACACATGGGAAAAACTACGAAAACGCCAATGCAGTCGGGTCATTCGCCTGGAATCGAACCAAGATCGGAACTACCAGTGTTCAGCGACAACTATAGGAACGCCCGGCCGTTGGTGGGTACGGGAAAATAAGGAAATGCGTAACTTCAAGTTCATGTTAATCGACGTTTTAATGTATTAAATTTTGATAATTTTTAACTTTAAGCGTATCAAAATTATCTTTAAAGAGCGTTTTATTATTTAGAATTATAAAACTATCTGTACTTACACTTGCGATCTGTACTATCTGTACTCAAATGGACTTTGCGGGAGATCGTGAACTCAATACTATAATGCAGCGGTTCTGAATCTTCTGACTAAAGAGTACCACCTATACAGAAATTGAAAAACTTTAGTACTACCACTACATTTTACAATGATTTTTTTCCATAGAAATATTAAAAAAAATTTTGACATTTGTAGAATTATTCGCTATTGTATTAAATATGCACACACAAAAAATATCAGTTTAAAAATTGCTTACCATTTTAATTATCGAAATTTAAGTTCTAGTACTTTAATTCTAAAATGAAGTGTGGAATTTGTGCCTGTTTAAGAGATTAATTTCTTTGTCTGCCTTATTTCGCTTAGTTTTAACTGTAAAATAGGATGCACCTTTAATTTTGTTCTGTATTTATTTTTCAAATATAACATGGAAGAAAATCCTTGTTCACACAAATAGGTTATATAAAAAGGTAATAAAGATTTAATAGCTTTATTTAAAAATTTTTTTTCGGTTCACCAAAATTTAACGAGTGTTTTATTTTTGAAATCTTCAGTTAGAGTTCAATCACAGGAAATTTCTATTAATTTTTAATTTTCTTCACGATTTCATTTTTAAATTTCTTAAAACTTCAGGTGCATTTGAACAAAAGGGACTTCTAATCCAATTTTCGTTTCCATAATCCTCGGGAAAATACATGTTGAAGCTATTTATTAATGGAAAACGATGATTTTTGATGTCTGATGCTAGTTTTTCATTTATTTTCAACTTATTTTCGGTTACTAGCTTCCAAAACTTTTAGTTTCCAAAGCTTTTTCACTTGAAGAAAAAACTTTCGTTACTTGTCTGCTGTTTTTGAACTGCGATAATTTCCTCTTAAAATATTCTTCAGATTTATCCTTTACATTGACATGCTTAGATTCAAGATGTCTTTTAAGAAACAATGGTTTCATATTTTGAGTGGATAATTGTTCAACGCAAATAGCACAATGAGGTTGAGGATCCATTCCAAGTAAACCCAAATAAGACTACCCTGGATCAATCACCTGTCAATCCTCACCATTCCTCCCTTTCGAATATTCAGGTTTGCTTTATTCTTTTTTCACAAATATTTAAATGCACTCTTACGAGCTCTTCAAAACCAAACAACGATACTATCAAATCGCATAGAAAAATAGGGAGTACAAAGCAACAAGAAGATAAATACCTGCTGTTACAGATAACAGATCGACGTAAAAAAATGATTCTAATTGAAAATAGAGCAATAAGAGCCCCTAAATGGTCACGATATGCTAATAAATCATCAAACGAATTATTGACATACTGTTATCTTTTTATAAGAACTTACTTTTATTTCTTATTAAATAGAACACCCATTTCTCCTTTTAAAAAATCATTTATGACAAATTTTGTAATGTCTATGGTAAATAGAATATTTGTGAAAGTAAAAACGGATTATTTTGCTAAAGTCTGAGCGGCTCTTGACTCTGAACAAAGCTCAGATCGCATAAATTTACGAGTGTTCAAGAAAAAACTTAAACAGGATGTTGCGATATTTAATTTTTTAATTTAATAGTTAAAAATAATTTGTTTCTTTGCATACCACCTATTTTTCTCTTACGTACCACTGGTCGAGAATCGCTGACATTCTAAAAGCAATTCATATACTAGCTTAAAAATTTCGTGTCGCGTAGCCTTTAATATTAAGGCGAAAATTTACTTATCAGGCGTTATTTTTTATGTTATGTCCTTATAGTCACTATTGATCATCTTGTTGCATATGTTGCAAGTGCGAAAAGATTACGGAATGCACTATTGAAACAATTCGCCGCTAAATTTATTATGTTGCTTAAGGATCACTACCATTATACACTAAATTTTTAATCTTGCTGCAGGGTGCATCCGGTTCGAAGGTTCTTAATAGGTCACTTTTGATGTAGTCGTGTAGTAACTTAAAAAGTGCGTAGCACTTCTTTAGTGTCAAGTGTGCTGTAATAAAATAGTTTTCATAAAATCCTTAATCTAAAACTTAATAAAAATAATAGGTTAAACCTAAAAAATTTGAAACGAATAATTAACGTGATATTAAATGGCGGATGGTAGTTTACTAAATTATAAAATAGAATTTGAATGTAATTTAAATATATTTGACTGTACAGTCGAAAATCTAGAAGCTAAAATTCGCATCGAATTGCTTCTTTACTATCGTACTTACTGTACAGTTTGAGAGCGCAAATAATTCACTTGAAAAAAATTATTTTGTGACAAACGCAAACCTAATTAAAATTTCAAATACTTTAAAAATTTCATTTCAATCCAGATGAGATTCCCGAGCACTTGTGTAGCGATCTGTTAGTATAGAAATTAAATATGAGAAAAATGTAGCGATTTAAAACTGTTTTACTTGTATGCCTCTAATTTTTTTGCAGAACAAAATAAAGCTTGAAATAGAAAAATCTGGTAAGACCTTGAAAGATGAAAGACTTCGTCGAATTGATTACAGTAAATATCAGGTAAGCACTTTAACTTAGTAAAGGATTACTTATATTTTCAGTTAAAATTGAACAATTTTAATTTGTTGAATTGTAATATTTTTTCATATTCTTAATACAGTCCATTTTTTTAGAATGCAAATATAAAACTGAAAGTGCCTCATAAAGACAATTTAAGCCCATTCAGAAGAAAACTTAAGAAATACCAAGTAAGAACCTTCACCTTAAAACCACTTGCGCTACGACTAAACTTCACGGTTGCGGTGCCGTGCGCTACAGTATAACAAGCGGTAAAGTGTCTCATTTACGCCGCTCCGCGCCTGCGAGAACAATCCAGAGCTGTAACTCGAGAAATAAACAATCTCGTTGTTAGGCGACGTGTGCACCACGTTATTTTCATTTTTGCGATAAATGCCTTTCGACGTGGTGTTCACGTCACTCGCGGTTTGAGACAAAAGCATCTCGACGTGCGTAGCACGTCTTTTTAGCGCAAGTGGTTAAATAAAAGGCTTGCATTGTTATTTCACACTCTAAAATTCTCAAATTTATCCTCATCTCCGTTCTTATCTTAGATGATAAAATAGTACTATAACACTAAGAAATTTCAAAGAGTTATCTCAAATGTTAGGAGTTTCATTCTTAAACTTTATTCAAATTAAAGTATTACGTAAGAATCACTAGAGCAACTAATCCACTGGCGGGCGATCGGTAACACCTTTGAATACTATTATTTCCAGGACGGACTGACATCATAACGGACTGGCTGCATGGATATTTTACGCACTTGTAGCATGAATACGTGGCAGTTTTTCTTAGAAAAATGAACAGTGTCGAATGATTACAACTGCTGAATACTGGTGGTAGCTCTGCCTGCTTTGTATTCGATCCCAGGCTAACGGGCTGACTGCATGGTTTATTTTCCCCATGTTATAACGTGAATACGAGTCAATTACCATTCGAAAGGCCTCCACGAAGACATCTCTTCTTTTAAGCTTGTAGCCTTCGTGGCTTTCCATATTCGGTTAATGTAATTCTCCCTTTAGGTCGATAACGTTCGGGTGTTTTATGATAATTTATGCCAGTACGTAACTATTTAACCAAAATGTTAGTAAAACTGTGTCAATCTGAAAACACTTTTTGTAGCCATAATTATGCAACTGCTACAAGAATAGTTTTTATATAACTTTCCTGGTGTCCTTTTCAATTTTTCTTCCAATTATTTTTCTCATATGGACTCGAGCATATCGATCCAGATGTTTTCAGCAATCCTTTATAAACTTAATACACTCGGTGATCATCAGTCATTAATTACGAATCTTTAACCATTTCCCATTTCACTTGATAGTTCTTTGTTATTTCTTCGGCTCAACAATGAATCGCAAGGCGGTCAAAAAAAAAATTGCTTTCCACGAAATAAATATCTATGGCTGATGTTCTTTTAGGCATTTTTCAACTGCACAACTCCATGGAAGTCTTCATTGTAAATTTTCATTTGTTAACTATTCTCAAAGAGCCTAATGGGTGGTAGAATCTTTTTTGAAGAATATAATTCCTCTTTACTGTCTATGGTAAACTGAAAATAGTTAGCATGTTCAGGGGTGAAATATAAATCGAAAAATACAAATAGAATATATACTAGAGAATTTAAGACAAGAAGCTAGTGCAGAAGAGTCGCATGCGAAGAAACCAACCGGAAAGTGTAGTACAGGCGATTGTTAGTTATAAGCTATTTATCGCTATTGACTCAAAGATCAAGCGCCTTAAATCTTTCAAGTTTACAAAAAATTTTACAAACTACACAGATGTAATCTGCCTTAAATTGACCTTAACTACTATACAGCTATAATCTCTTCTAAAGTTTCTAAACGTTCTGTGAATTTTCTTTGATGAAGTAATAGTGAAAATATTCACTTCTCTATCTGTTGTAACTTGGAGGAAAATAATTACAAGGAAATAAGGTCTTTTTGACTTTCCTATCTGTTGAAATGCAATATTTGTGGTCTGACTTCGAGAAAAATAATTACGAAGAAATAATCTCATGAAGTGGAACTTAAAACTTCCACTGCTGTGTTTTTTTACTTGTTTTGATCTCATATATAATGCAAAACATGACCTATAAATAGTATACATTTTGCATTTTGTTGAAGTATAGTACATATTTAACATTCATAATTTTCACTTTTTAGAAATGGGATCTTGTTGATTTGACTAAACACTACTTATTACTTCTGCTGGAGTACATAATTTTCGGTGAGTACAGTTCAAAGAATTTTCGAAACATCTGAATTTCATTACAGATATTTCTCATTCAGTTAATTCAGTTCTTACTTCGCGGCAAGGCAAAAATACATAAAAATCTCTATTTTGATTAAAAATTGAGGTATAATAAAACATAAAACACCAAGTGCAATTAAAACAATTTAAAAATTATAATTATAGTTTCTACGCAAAAATAAGCAATTCGGCCAGCAGACAAGAAGGCAGATTTTACGATGCACAAAACTGTTTCCTTTTGGTCCCACTCGGCAAAAAGTCGCTGAAGGTGCAGAAAGACCTAATTCACTTTCGGCTAGGTTTCAAATATGAGCAAATATTCCTGCCATGGTAAAAACATTAGGCTTAGCCGCACTTGGACAACTTTCAAATTGTTAATTTCTACAACTATTGCATGCAGATTAAAGACATACAGACCTTAACCGTAAGAGAACAACCTAATTCAATGATTTTTTAAAGCAAAAAATGGACAATTTACCAACATATAAGAATAAAAATTATTATATTGTGTTCTTACTTTTTCAGGCAAGGGAGGCATGCTCGTACATTGCGCTGTTGGTTGGGATCGGACACCCATCTTTATTGCACTTCTACGACTGTCACTTTGGGCCGACGGTTGGATACATGTATCGTTGACACCATTACAAATGACCTATCTTACATTAGCATACGATTGGTATCTCTTCGGGTAAGTATACAGTCTACCTGTACAACTTCGTATTTCTGAAACAAAAGACAAAATACTGTAGTTTAACTACATAGATTTTAGAAAATATATTAAAATTTCTATTCTAATCTAAAAATTCTATTTGCAGGCACAGTTTACCTCATCTTCTTGAAGCAAAATGCGAGGTAATTTTTTTTTCTTTGTATGTGAATTTTTGATACTGAGATTAAATCGTTGTTTCAGAAAATTAGTATTCATAATCATCTTGCTATTCAGTAAACCATGTACATACTTCCTGCCTGTACATTAAACAGTTTGAAGTATCAGTTCTGACCCAAATACCAAATTTTTATTTTTGGGCATAGCATTACAGCATTATTTTGAATTCTGGTTAAAATAAATTTCATGTAAAACCAAACTGCAGTTTAGATTTGAAACCGGAATTAATGCTCTGGAAGTAAAAAATTCAATGAAATGTGCATTGACAGCATACTTCCATTTTTGTTCTTATGTTGGTTACAAAAAATAACAATAATTGCAATGCGCTTGCTGTAATTGACCTGAAGTAATCTCTCTCCGCTCTATATTAGCCAAGTAAAACAAATCATAAAATTCTTATCTTTCTAGAAAAGTTCGGAATAGCTAAGTTACTCATTTTTCTCACAAGAAACCAAGTACAAGTAACACTACCAAGGATCAACAACCTTGGGATTTGGCGAATCATTCGGAATATTTGTCATAATGAAACTGCAGTGAATACCCACCAACCGAGAACTTCTCTCCTGTCGTTGTATTAGAAGGGTTGATAGAAGGTGTTAAAACGATAGTTATCTTAAATGAAATTTCGTCCTGGCCTCTCGTGTTAACAAGTGAAAGGCAAAGATATGAGACTTAACCCATCATGAACACTATTCAGCTCTTAAGTTACTGCGGAAAGAAAAGATCTACACTTCTATCACCAGCCTTGTCTTTATTTTCATTTTGTCAACTTGGGTTAGTGCTAAAGATATCGATAAACTAAAAATTTTCCCAAGGGAAAAGATCTTAAAGTTGACTAAATGCAGAACTCTTTGAAATGTGTTAATTTCTTCTTAAAAGCAAGAATGAGTTGTGGGGAAACGTTTTAAGCAGGTATGGCATCGTATCTAATGGCTTCTACTTGCTTCTTTTTACACAACGCACTTCCTTGTAAAAATTAAGCTTTTTAACTACTTTTATTTCTTTCGGAAAATTTTGTCTCTGGCTCCATTCCTGAACGATTGGTTTTTGCCCATTTGTAACATGGATAAGAGGCACTTTTCTTTAGAAAGACCACGAATGCTTACTTTCCCTTGGCAGGTAGACTGGTAGTTCGGTCCGAGGTTCGAATCCCGCGAACGGGCTGGCTGCATGGGCGTTTTCGTGGTTTTCCCCATGTGTAACGTGTATACGAGCCAGTTTTCTTTAGAAAGTCCTCCATGAAGGCATCCGTCCCCTTAGGCAGATAGCCCTCGTGTGCTTTGCCATAATTAAATACACCAACACCAACACACCCTTGGCAGGTAGCTCTCGTGTCTTTTGCTTATTAGACAACCTAACCTTTTCATTTCTTTATTTGTCATAAGCTTTAGAGAAAATAATTTTTTAGCAGTTAGATCATTTAATATCAAAGGAGTTTCTTCTTATTGATTGGTCAGATCGCTGGCCACAATCCTCACCGTCTCATCGACTAGATACTCTTTTTTTTTTTTTAACCAGGTTGCCTTCTGCGAATTTTAGTGGAATTAACTTTAGTTTACAAGAGAGCGGTTTTAGAGCTGCTTTAGTATATGTAGAAACACGGGTATCAACGTTCATAGCATTAATTTTCTCAACACTGTAGCGCTCATATCTGTTAGACTAATAATTTAAAAGTGAAATCGAATTTTATTTAATCCGTTAAAGGCCAACATGCATGTAAAAATACATGCGCCAACGCTGCTTATTGATGATGGTTAAATTAAATATTTAAAACTAATATTACTGTAAGTAAGTTATAACCATAAAGTTTTGAAATGTCATTCCATAACTAACCCCAAGTGATGCATTTCTTACATCCAGAAAGAACTGTGAACAGCCAGATAACGAAAGTTAACTGAATACGCTAACTAACAAAGAAAAGGATTTTTTGGTGCAGGTAACACCTTTGAATATGTGTCGCCTTAGAAAACTGGTTTGGTGAGTGGTACCCTACAACAGGAAAGATCAAAGTGAGATAACGTTCTGCATGTCACTTCAAGGCATATGTAACCACTCTAAAAGTTTTCACGCGTCTTAACCTTGTATCAGTTAAAAAAAATGTAAAATTTGCTCAGGAAACTGTTTAATAAACTGCTTTAGATGCACAAAATTCATGTCCTATTGTGCTTGACCGCAAAGGACTGCTGACACTTCTGATTATTTGATGCGTGTTCGACATTTAGACAATAGACTACTTACTGTTCAGTAACACAGGTTTCAGCTGTTTCTTATCCATGATATTCGCTATATATTACTGATATTTTTCCTACATAAAAATAATTGACAAATCATTTTTCCTGCTGGAATCAAACTCTTAACGCTTCTTTATGCTAAGTTCACTGAATCAAGCGAAACGCATAAATTTATGAAAGGAATTTTAAACGTATTATACAGATGCATAGATATAAATGTCATAATAAAAGCACAAGAAAAAGACGGAACACTGTAGATGCGTGATTAGACCCATATTGTGAAGACGATTTTGATTGCGTAGTATGCTCGTAATGCTAACTTGGTAATATTTAGGCAGTCGAGGCAGTTTTAATTCCATTTTTATTTGCAACTGATATTTGTGGCTACAATCACTTGGCACTCTAGTCCTGCCTTTCCACAGAAGATTTACAGTTTTGATATTGTTGAGAGAAAGCAAGCCAGCGAAATTACATCTTAGTACAGTAGAGAGCAAAAGCTGAAGTGCGTAGTTATGAAAGATGGAAGCACGCGAAGAGAAAAGTTTTGGTTTACAATTATTACGTCATCAGAGCTGTGCGGGCCATAGTGATCTAGAGAAATGATGCAATGCAGAGAAGTTATTACGATTTTAGAATAGAGGAAGAATTAATGTTTATAATTAAATTATAATTCTGATTCATATAATTTTATCTTGCATATTCCCCCCCCCCTTCAAAAAGAAAAAGGCGTAGCGACAGAGAAGTCTTTTTAAAGAGAAAGTTAAAACACTAGCAAATTTAAAAAAAAAAAAAAAAAAAAATCATAAAATTTTTTTGTCTTGTAAAGTATAATTTATAAATATAAATTTTTTTTAATAAATTTTTAATTTTTAGAGTCCTATTAACATAAATAATAGGATTAAGATTTTCAAAATTTGTTTTCACCGTTACCTTTCATTTACAATTCCTGATTTTACCAAACTGGAAGCCTCGCAATATTTCTAAACAAACATATCCATCAATAGGGCTGTCCTCTTGAGCTAACCAGTGTGTTCTCTGCACTGGTGGCCCAGGGTGCCTAGGCAGTTTACTTGAAAAGGCCTCCGTTCCTTGCATTAAGGTAACTGGCCTTTGAGAACTTCACTAATACATTCCATAATAAAAATATAATAATAAATTTATGAAAAATAAATATAGTTACTGCGGAAAGAGAAGATCTACACTTCTATCACCAGCCTTGTTCTTATTTTCATTTTGTCAACTTGGGTTAGCGCTAAAAATATCAATAAACTAAAAATTTTCCCAAGGGAAAAGATCTTAAAGTTGACTACATGCAGAACATAAAAAAATTACACACACTCATAAAATGAGAGCCTACAACATTATTTTACTTGAAGAGGGTGAAGGGAACAACTGTACAGAGGTAATTACAGGCCTCTGCTTAGGAACCCAGTACTATACTTAACATACAATCACCCATAAATTTTACATGCATTTACCATAATTTCATATTACATATCTGTAATTTCACTTATTTTTTACAGTTACTTCATTTTTAGAATAATTATAAAATTCGTATTCAAAATTCTCAACAAAATTTCAAAAACATAAAAACTTATCTTAATATCCTTCCCTATGAATAATTTAAATAGCTTAAAATTTGTTACTTAATTTGCTCACACATAATTATGAAAAATTAGAAAAATTAATGAACAAGAATTTCAGATTTTCTCAAAACAAATTGCAGAAATTTTAACCAAAGTTGAAATGAAAACTATAGAATCCGCAGCACATTAAATAATTTAGTTCCTGAACTAGATTCACAAAAGTGTTTATGTTCTAGTGTATAATTGTATTATTTATGTTGAATTGGGCCCACCAGCGGCCGAGCGGTAAAATCGCTGAACACTGGTAGTTCGGTCCGAGGTTCGAATCCCGCGAACGGGCTGGCTGCATGGGCGTTTTCGTGGTTTTCCCCATGTGTAACGTGTATACGAGCCAGTTTCCCTTGGAAAGTCCTCTATGAAAGGCATCCCTCCCCTTAGGCAGATAGCCCTAGTGTGCTTTGCCGTATTCTCAATACATACAATACATATATTGAATTGTTTTTGAATAATATTTTGTATTGAAGTGTAAAATATGTCAATCTTTAATTGCCTACGATGAGAGGAAAAAATGCACATAATATATTATTCATAAATTGTATAATTTATTTCTTTTCTAAGTTTTATCTGAAGGAAGAAAAATTTTAAATATTTTCTAATCAAAGCTTACTATTATGAAAACATTCAGCGAAAAAAAATGCATCATATTTGTGAACTATCAACATGCATCATACTCGTATTTGTGGACTATCTGGCATTTAGAGATTTTACCAGATATTTTCATTCTATTCGAACTCTTTTTATGAAAAGGACTTTCAAAAAACAAAATGGACATTTTTAACAAAATTGAGGACTTTTGTAATTATAACTTATTTATCAGTATTCCATATTTATTATGTTATAGTTTTAAAATTAGTCATATATTGTATATGTATTTATAACTCATAGTTTTAATGTTCAAAATTTCATATGCTATAAAGTCCAAATTTTATATGAGAAAGTCATAAACTATGATAGGCCATAGTTAAAGCTTGTACGCTATGTCCTGGATGTTTTCATGTCTTTTCTCATACTTTTGCTTTACTCCTGTACTAATGCTTTTCTCACCAAGGCCTCTCCTTTTGACGGGGGGGGGGGGAGATGTAAAATATAAAAAGAAATATGATGGCTTTGCTCTTTGCGAACCAGCAACCTTTAATTAATTTTCTGCAATTCAGGATCTTCCCCTACACCAGTACCTTCTAGAACATTCGCGCCTATTGCATAACCTCCTCATATAAATGCTGCGTCATAAGTCTTTCTACATTTTTCTAGAAGCTACTCTGTTACATAACCTTTCATATAAATGCTGCGTCATAAGTTTTTCTCATGGAGGTAGGAAAGGGAGAAGGGGCCAACCCGCGCTAAAAGTGAAGCATGCTTGAAGCTGGGTACAGATGGGGTTTTCTTTGTTTACATCAGAAGCTCGCTTGACAGATTTGATAGTATTTCGACGCACGACAGTTCCATAGAAATCGAAAAAAGGGACACTTTCGCATGAAAGAACATTCATAGTGTGATGGATAATAGCAATTTGTATAGTTTAGTGACTTTACGCAAAAAATCACATCTTGGTTATTTTTCGAAACTGCGATTTTGATTATGAATTTGTTTTTATAAATTATAAGCTGTTGCACTACAAAAAATAGATTTAAGAAAATGTTATGCTTAAAGAATGAAAAATACCTTACGGTACATTTAAAATTGTATACGTCTTTCGATATCCTTGATAGAGTATTCGCTACTTATTTATTTTCCAACGTCAAAATGTTTTAAATAAAACAAATTTTTTTCACATCCATATATTATTGTAACATGTACCTTTTAAAATTTTTTAGAGGAGAGGCTTTACTGCTGCTCATTTTAAACCCATCGTTTTAATTTTATATATCTGAAAAATAATCACTTTGGGCTTACACGTTTTATAAATATAAAATTATGTATGTTAAAATTTGTAATTAGGCATAGGTCAGATAAGTTTTTATTAATAGAGTAACGCATGCAGGGCTATCTGCCTAAAGAGAGAGATGCCATAGTGGAGGAATTTGAAAAAAAAAACTGACCTTTGAGGGCTAATCAATCCAATCCTGCACAGATGCCTTCTCGCCTTCGTTCTGCTAACGTCTTCGCTATGCTCCTCTTTCTTTGTTAGAACGTTATAACGTATTTAAGTCAGTCGTATCTAATAATTCAATTACTGAATAAGTTATTTGAGTAACTTCATCTAGAAAAAATCATCTGCTCTAAAATAAAATAAAGATATGCTGTTAACAGTGAAGAGTCCTGAGTCGTCATTTTTCTCCGTGGTGCAACCATTAGCTTAATAGCCTCACCATTCACCCACGATGTGTTGGAATAACTGAAAACATTACATACATATAATAAAAGAGTGTGTCTTTCGTTTGTGCTGCGCGTAAGCTAAGATCCAGGGCTACGAAATTTAGTGTATAGGTGCATCTAGACAAGAGCCAGTGCACCTCCAAGCGATTTTTTCAAAATTCGAGTTAGATTTTTTATTTTATTTTGATCTTTTCGATTTTATCGCACTTTTTTTAATAGTTTCATTCTTTTAGAAATGTGGTTTTGGCAACAGTTTTTCATTCAATATTTTGTATACTGAACTGCTCATTGTTACAAATCAGCACTGTTGCCACTTGGAAAAAATAAGGGCGATAATTCTGTGCAGTTTTTAAATTTAAGGTTCTCTTGGATAACGTTTGTTGAGAGAAGGCAAGGGAAGTTGATTAATATATTTATTAGGATAATTAATATTTGCATTAAAGGATATTGCTTATTTCATTGCAATTTGTATATTAATATTTTTTAAATTGTGATTTTTTTAAATAAGCTTCTTGTAAAATTGCGCAGTTTTAATTAACTTTTTTCCTCAGGCATTTTTCAGTACTTTAAAGCAGACGAAGTGGCGCGTAGCTGCTGATATATACAGTGGATGGACAAAAATATGGAAACACCTTGTGAAATGCATGTTTGAAAAGAAAGATTGATTTTAATGAAATATGTAGGTGGCGCTGGCGTTTTTGACTACTGACGCCACCTATACAACTTCGTAAATGTGCTAAACAGTTCAGTTGTTGTCGGAGTACTGTTATGTGAGGTTGTCATTGCATTATGTCAGAGTTAACAGACTTCGAACGTGGGCAAATTGTTGGAGCACGTATGGTAGGTGCTTCCGTAAGCAAGGTAGCCGAGGTGTTTAGTGTTTCAAGAGGTACTGTATCGAAGATTTATTCCGCATATTTGAAAAGCGGAAAAACATCATCTGCTAAATCACAGCGCGGACGAAAGTGTGTCCTGAGTGATCGTGACAGACGATCATTAAGGGCAATTGTGACGAAAAATAAGAAGACCACAGCTTCAAAAGTTACTGCTGATGTATATACACTGTATAAATAAATACTACGTTCTAAATCTGAACCTGCTGAAAACACAAAATAAAACTGGTCTTATATTTTGTAATTCCTATATGTAATTTTTGTGTGTGTATTTCAAAATTTTAGACCTCAATGTTAAAGTGAATAAAATATTCCGGTATACTCATTTTAGTACTTGTTAAGATGTTAAAAAATAAACTAAACGATCATCAAAATATTTTTCATCCATTATTCTCGAAATCTCTTACAATTTATCGACTCGAATTACTACCGTTTTGTCAAAGAGTTTTTAACTGTATTTGTAGCCCTAAAATTTCCCATCAGATAAAATAGTAAAATCTGAACCATTATAGTGATTCTCATAATTTATTACTCGTAATTTATATTTGCAGATCTTGCATTTTTGCTACAATTTCCTGCAGTTCATTTGGACCGATGATTTCTCTTCTACAAAGTAAGCACCTTTCTGAACTGTACTCTGTAACACTGTATTCAGAAGCCAAATTACATAGTTTCAGTAACGAAACAAATTTTTGTACATTAAATCTAATCTAGAAAAATGCGCACGAAATTTTAAGAATTTCAAAGTATTTATTCTATGTAATACATAGCTAATAATTTACTTCCCTTTTTAAACTTAACTCGTATTGTTCTAATTTCCAACACCAGAATTTTCACTTCTAATAGATTTCATTCTAACTAATACGATTTTTTGGCAATATGAAGCCAGCAATTTCTTGTACTTGATCAGACACAGGTTGTTTCTTCAGGAACCAAACAATTTTGCGAAATTGGAAAGATCGACAAACATCTTGTATCGAAAGCAATGGCAGGAGCAAAATGAAACGATCATAGCATCATCTGTTGACAAAAATGGTAAATAAACGGGAAAGTAGCTACAGTTCTTTAGACATTAGGAAGAACTGTATTGGAATTAATGTACTTAAATAAAGCTAAATTTTTGTAAACGCAAATTGCTGCAAGGATATCTAGTTCACGAACTGATTGTTTCCCTAGGATCTGTTACTGATTGTTTTCTCAGTCCAAATTGTAATCGTATCGGCCAGTGATGATTAACTATATAAGATTTGGGTATTTCGGCTTTTGTAATAGATTACTGTTCCTTCATGCAAAATGTTAAAACTCGTTTAATTAATTCGATATATATATATATATCAAACCACATTGACAAGGTATGCTATAAACAGTCCACGAATTAAAAAATAGTGTCTTTAAGAATCGAATGATAAAGTTTCTTTATAGGTAAGAACAATGGCCTGAAAAATTGAAGTTCTGAGTAATTCTGAAATTGATACAAGTAAGAAATGGAATGAACATAAGTTATAATGCTTATTTCTAAAATCTGAATTTCATCTTTTAAGGCCGAAGAAGGAAAAGTTCTGAAAGGCTTTATCAATAATCGGGATAAAAAATCCTGTATCAGTGGCAACGGATTTCAAGTAACTCAGTTCAGGAGAAAGATTCTGAAGCACAATATGTATGAGAAAGAAAAGAAGCCTTTTTTTTTTGTTGTTGTTGTTGTTTTGCAGCATGACATGATACAGCATGGTACAACAGACAAAGGTTTAAGATAAGCAGTAGTTTACTGCCTAATTTTTTAAACTTAAGTTATTTTATAATATTTTTCAATTTCTTTTTTGAAGTAGGGTTTTAGCATGACTAGTGTAGCTGTCTATTCATGACCATGTTGTTGTTGCTTGTGTTCAACACGAAACCTTCGTGGCAAGGAGCGTTTAGATACGAATGTGTTGGCAACAGCCTTGAGCACCATTCAGGTGACAGTACGATTTTGCTCAGTTCCGCCCCCCAGTTTTGATAGAACATCTCGGGGGGTGAGTAAGGGTCCGAGGGTCTCCCACCGCCCTCTCCTTCCACCGAACCACACGAGAGGACTTACGGCTTGCCGCACATTTAGACTGCCGCCACGGCGCACCGAAATCGCCCTATATGCGGTCAGGTCATAAATTTAGAACCCCTTTTTTTCACGAGGAGATAGTCTTGCTCGTGGTCTTGAGAAAATGTGGGGGTTGTTTAAACATCTAACTTCTCTACATTAAGTTTTTATATACAGGGAAATACAAATTGAATTCTACGAAGGAATGCAATTTTGTACAATGAAAATGTATTAGAGAACTATAAACTGTAAGGAATATAACATCTTTTTTTTTAAGTAGGAGTAGAAAGACAGATATTTGTTACATCAATGAAATTTGTAGTAAATATTGAATTTTTCATTTTGAATGCTATCCATGTATGCGAAGTAGTGAGTATCTGAAAATAGTCTTAACCCAAATGGCCTTCAACCTTTCACGCTAAGGACTGTTTTCAATTACATTGGGTCGCTGCTTTTTGGTTAATTTTCTAATGACATAAACATTAAATTGTTTTATTGAGAAGTATGAATAAAATACGCAAATTAGGACTGCAGAAAATTCTCAGAATGAAGTTAATATGAAAAATACATTTATCCTATATCCAATTTTATCTACAACAAATCTTTAAAAAGTGTGGTGGAATAAGGATGACATTGTGTTTTAGGAAAGTGACAAATCTAGTTACAGTGACAACTAAGTGAAAATAACTATGATTTAGCAACTGTGATGATAATTTCGGGATTCTAGAAACGCTGCTGTATATGCTAATTTTTTTAATGCAACCGTTCCATTTCGTTGTATAAAGTGTTTATCATTAAAAATGGTAATTTATCTTTTGTCTAAGAATTTTTCCCAAGTTTTAAACTGATAAATCACTGCGCGTCTTACAGGCCAGGAAACTGAGGTACAGTATAAATCTCCCTTCGTTTCGTATCAGTGCCGACGATTTCGATGAAAAAGGGTACCTTTTTAAAAACGAAGAACTTCTTAACGAAGAAAAATCGTTTATGTACAGCATAATGTCTAAAAATGCCGTCAAATTAAACAGTAATCTTGACTTTAATGCTTTTGTATGCATTTCTTGAATTGATCAATAAATGTAAATTTGTAATTTAAAAAAATGTATAATATTTTATTTAGTTACATGCTCGTTATCTGTGTTATTGCTTCGTTTCTGGTATAGACCCCCCTCCCAGAAAAAACCGTTTTGCTCCTTGATCGCAAAAAATTTCTCGATTTTCCGTTACTTAACCAGTGGAATTTCCTAGTTCCCCCCCCTATAAAATTACAACTTTGCTACAACAGCTGAGTTAAATATTTGCAGCTATCTACACCTAAATTGAATGTTTATTTAAAAATAAAATCTTTCCTAATTTTTATATCCCTTTTCTAGTTTATATGAAATTTCAAAATTTAATGATATCATTTAATGAAATACTTGCAAGTAATATAATGGTTCTGGGAAATATATTCTTGATTCCAAACCCTTACTGCTAGGGCATCAGCCCATCGCCTAGAATACATATTAGTTCAAAGGGGCAATTTGCCCAGAAGGATTATTAATTTCATTTTGCATTTTGCGTGAAACTATAAACGGCAAATCACTTTTCAATTGTTGCACCAGATATATCGCCTGTATATATTTAAAGAAATTAATAATGAAGAGTTGCAATGAATGTATTATTTGATTTAAAATGAGACCATAGACCCATCAAAATTTGAAATAAAGTAATCTTCCATAGAATATCGGCGCGTGAGCCCTAATAAATTTAAATTATTTAAGTTTATATTTTAACAATGAATTTTGATTAACAAACTCAGCGATTTCAAAGCGAGCAATGGCAAAACTGTACGAAAAAAACTTTATCTCCAGCGAGCGATATATATTCCTGATATACTGATACTGAATGAGACCTAAAAACACTTTTCTTTTAAAATAGATCTTCCCTTATGATCCCTACAGCCGTTTACTTTCCCCTTCCGTAAATAACGTCAGTCAACTGCTCTTGACCGTATTTGCCAATCCACCGGCGCACCAACACTGTACATTTACATCCATGCCGAATCCGGGCCCTACTGCACAGCAGTCAGCGACGCTAACCACTATACTTGTTGGGCGGCTATTGATAACCATAGTCAACACAAGAAATTCATGACATTTTCAAGTTCTAACATTTTTCGTAAATATGCTACGATTTCCACGTATGCTTACTTTTGTTTAAAATTTTTACCGGTAAGAGACGTTTTACAATCAATCAATTTTAATGTGTTAACTTCTAACAAATTCACGTATTCTCACAAGTAAATGTCACCGCTTTATTTTACAGTGGCAGAGCGTTTAATTAGTTGGTGCTGTGTCTTAGGCTTTCGAGGTCTTTTGCGTGCCATATGAACTGAAAACTGAACTTGCTCATTAACAAGCAGAGTCCTAAATTTTTGATATACTGAACTCTAATTTTATTTCATTTAAGCGAAGCGTATCTTCTAGTAGCACGCCCTGAAACTTAAGCTTTCCCTGCCTTTCTCATTGTTACAGATTTCAGAAACTCTCTGAAACCTAATTCAAATCTAAGTTTTATGGTAATCTTTCTTTTTTTTGGGGGGGAGGGAAGGGATAATGGTTTATCTTCGATTTCTATGTGAAGTCAATATTTCGCCATTCAATTCCAGTTTTATTTACCACAGAATTGGATAAATTTCAAGTTTTCAAAATTTGAAAGAACATATAATAACAGACCGTTTAGCAAAATAAATGATAATTTTTCGGTGTTACACCGCGTATAGGTAAAATTACCTGCTTGGAAAGTTTTTATTTAATTGCAACTATATTTTTGAAAGTATAAATTATCGTCTACTACTTGTTCTATTTTCATGCAAAATGGCGCTTTTAAAGAAAGCTATGGGTGAAAAGCTATGCTTGTGCTCTTTCTGTAAAGTATTTGTATCTAGTTATTACGCTGCGAGATCCATCGTTTCTCTATATCTAAAGTTGAGAATTGAGATGGACAATATTGTCAACAAGAAAGGAAAATAGTCGGTTTGTCTCAAAGGTCAAAAGTTGTTCCAAATGCATATACGGGGGAAAAACGGAATGTTTTGTATGTTGCACAAAGGTAAGATCATTATTATTAAAATAAAATCCACCAATTAAAGGACAATTGAAAAAAATTAATATGCTCAATGTCAACTGTAAACGTAGTGATTAATGCTGATTTGAATCTTAAAAAGGTGAAAAAGCTTAATGTGCATAGTCTTTTTCCACGACATATTGCCGAACATAAAAGGCTTTGAAGAATGTTTATATAGAAAATATTTATCTGGATAACTTTTTTCGTTTAAAAATCGAAACATTTTGTCCCATTAATCTTGGAGGTATTTAAATGACTGCAACAAGATTTCCATTTATTACCATCAAAGAGGAGGAAAAAAGGTTACAAAAATCTAAAGCAAGTTTTTGGAAGGGATATGATTGCTGCTGGTGTTTTATATAACGGAAAGTTGAAAACGATGCAGAAAAATGCAACGCCACACATTATCAGGAATATACTTTATGCTGAATTTTCAAATATGAAGTACCTTGTCTTTGCCCACAGTACCATCAATCACTAGAACTGCATCTAGACAAAACAAGCCGCCACACGCTACTGTTAATTTACTGTCTGAAATGGAAAAAGAAACGGGTATCAAGGCCATACACTTCGCTCATGTCCCTGATAAATCATCTGATATATTACCTATGGATTCTGGACTTAACAATATGATTGTCCAAACGTCGACATATAACCTTCCTTGGACTTTGGAACGTCATTCAAGAGGAATGGGATAAAATACCTTTTCCGATATTACAAAAGGCTTTATTGCCTTGGAATTTACGGAATAGAAAAATAATGAAGAATAAGAGTTACCATATAGAACATTTAAAACACAAAAATTTTAAGTATTATTCCTAAATACAATGAACCATCTCTGCAACATCACTATGCCGATTTTTGGAGGTTCTTGTCTATTAATATATTTAATTGCAGTTCCTAGAGCCTGAACTCTGTCCTTATGGGGAAATTCTGCGAGGTTCAACAGCTGTTGCTTGATCTTCATTTTGTATTCATCTCAACTGCTTAAAGCAACACTTTAATCATCTGTTATTTTATTCTTCATTCAACTTTCGATTTCTTGCAAATATACATCTTCACATCCAGGTATACGTTGCACCAAAGGTAGAATTGTGTCAAGGTTTCATTTGTGCTTTCCGTTTCCATCTTCTGTTCATCGTCTCGCTGCTCTTTCTACTATTTGACAACTGCTGTAGCCCTTACATCAACCCAGGCACGCGCAAATCAATAATCAGCATCCTTTAAATTGATACCTTTCAAGTAGTTATTCAATCAGATTTTGTCATTCTTCAGTTTCTATTGTATACAGTAGCTTCCTACCATAGCTACTTTCTATCATTTCCAAAACTCCTTTATCCATAGGTTGGCATATGGCGGTTATATTGAGGGAGGAGGATAGAAATATTACCTTAATGTCATCATCTTTGAAGTTTCTCTGCATCAGAGTGCACTGGAGCATTTTCTCATTAAATTATTTTCTTTCGAAAATTTCTCTAAAGAATGCATTCCGTAAAGAACCAGACTTTGAAAAGTTCACTACTCATCCATGCGCATTTTTAGTTGCAGAATTTTACAGGGAGAGTGGTTTTTGAAACTGCTTTAAAAGTTGTAGGATTTGGGGAATTGCCAATCATTAAAAGGTCCATTTTGAGGTTTACTGTAGCATTACTTTATGCTAAAAGCGTTAGCCCTTCCATACTACGCTTGTAGCTAGAAACTGCCTCTTCTCTTCTGTTTTGGCTGCAAGGCTCTTACTAAGTAACATTTTATAACTAAGGCCTGATTCATCACAATATCTGATCATCCTATAGGCTTTCACTTTCAGTTAGTTCCTGAAATGATTTCTTGGAATACCTTCATTTCTTAAATTCAATGACTATTTTCTACCACAGACACTTAACTGACAGATATCGTAATGTTTCTTCCATTGGTCGAGCCAACGACACTTGCTCTGAATTTTGGACTCCCATCATTGAAACAATTGCGAAACTGCAACTCATTTTGCTGTAAAATAAACCCACCTTTGTCTCTGAACTTTGTAAACCATGAATGCAAAATTTCTCTCACTTTTTCAGTCGTTTTTTCATAGTTCTTTTTTCTTTGAAAGTACTCTTTCCCAACTTCCTACTGTTAATCATCTAACGCCCTAATCGTCAGCCTACCTTCAGCATTCTGATTTCTTTCCACTGTCTTGATTGCTCCAAGTTTGTTCCATCGGTACAGCAACTTTCTTTTACCCGCCATTCTTTTTTTGCTTGCGCAAATCTCAAATTTTAAACACTACAACAACGTTTGCAAATTAGAACGATACGAACACATAAGCATGAACAGTAATAACCATAAAGTGATAGTAATATAATAAATTGTACTGCACTGAATGACAAATGAGTCGTAATGTAGCCATATTTACAACTTAGTTCTTGTTTCTATTGATTTTTTTTTTCTATGATATGTCGGATAATAAGGAATGTCTGATGAGCGAAGGTTGGATAAGTGACTCTACTATACCTACTAATTTTCAGTCGGGTTTTATTGGATCACTTTACGAATATTTTACTGCAAAAACTAGCTAAAGCGTTCAATTTTAAACCTGAACAGTGTAATGATTATTCGCATGAAATTTAAAAGAAATAATTTGCAGTACTTATTTAATTTAAACTTATTCAGTATATATATATATTGAGATGCATTTTAACACTATCATCCGAGGCTCGAGCGCCCATTGAAAAAGTAGAAATAGAACGCTCGAAAGGTCTTTTGGAAGGTATTTTCGGTATTCCTTCCTAAAACGACCGACAGACATAAGTCTCCAGACAAATTTGAAGTTTGCACATTATTAAATTTATAAATTTCTTTGACTAAGTGCGGCGGCCATTGAGGAAAGGAAGTACTGTTTTTAAATGGTTTGTCGGAAGTAACTGTAGCTTTTAAACTAGAGCCTTTTTAAACATTAATATTTTACTTTTTCAGGAAGCTGTACGACTCAAGTTCGGAGAAAAAATGTTGTAGAAGAATTCCAATTTTTGAGCAAGGTAAACGCAGAGAAAAGCTCGAAAAGGTGTGGGATATATTTTCAGCTATTTACAAACCCAGTGCACTCGTATGATTGCTTGGGACTAACTTTTATGAAAATGCTAGCCTATCAAACTATTTATTCAAACTAAAGGTGTTCTGAATGAAAGGACGGTTTTCCAGCGTCTTCTAGTCTACAACTACTTCTGTTGCGTTTATTGTAGTTTTATATTTTAGATGTGTGATTTTGCTTGTATTTTAAATACTTTTAATGTTGTAAAGTCAAATTTTCTATTTTTCTTTTCTTTGAATCCTAGATTTTGAGACTATTCTGGCTTTCATGGTTGTATAAAATATATGGAATAAAATGTATTAAAAAATTGTTGGTGGCAAAAATTAATTACCTAAGGAACTGCGTAACATCTTTAAACATTTCAATGGTTTTCTTTAGGATCAATGTCATAACCGACTGCTTAATATTTCAGAAAGTTCTTAGCTGTTTTAGAATAGAACCTCCTAATGATGAGAAAACTAGACGTTTAAGTACTAATTTATTGGACTAAAGTGGCAGGGTCGTAACAAATGTTCCACCTATAAATTTATATTTTAGTTTTACGGAAACTTCGAACACTTATTTTGCATACATACTTAGCCTTCCAGTATTGAAAATTGTTATAGAACTTAACACTCACCGTTTGCATCCACTTACGGCCCCACTAGCTGCAGCTAACCTCGGAACAAAGCTTTTAATGCAGTAAGGAGCCGTTTCTCAAGTGTTTAAAAAATGATATTATATTCGTTTTTTCAAGACAGGCTAAAGATCATTTCGTGACATTTTTCTTTTACTTCAGTGTGCCTTCTTGGAAATATGGCTTGACAGGTGACGGAGGACGGGGACGCCTGGTGTTTAACGGAGGTAAACAGGTATGTCCCACACCCTCCCCTATCTAGATGCAACAACTCCCTGGGGTTCCACAAGGGCGCACCGGGAGTTTACTGAGCCTTCATGAAAAAGTTTACATGGCCATACAGGGGCTATTCCAGTTTGAAATTGGTTCAGTACAGATTCTTATGTTAATGGTTGACCTGGGTGTTCATAGACCATAATGCATACATGAAATATGACATTACATACATGATATATGACATTACATAAAACTTGTACATAATACTTGCAGGAATTAGTACATACATACTTTATACTTCACATGACATTAGACTACACATACATAATGCATGACATTAATCTACACTTATTAGAGTTATAACCTGACGGTATACTACGTTAAGCTAATTGTATTACAAACTTGCTAAGTTACTTTATAACTGGATTACTTATAGTTTACATTATTGCTATTACTTCTTAAATGACATTATGCTATATAACAAGATAGGCACACATACTTTCCCTTATAATCATATATGCGTTACTTAAAATAATACACATGTGGCATGCGTTACACGAACTAATGACTACATTACTGATTACGTTATGTTAAAAATACACATAGTACAACGTATTACACTCATTGATTAAATTACTTACATTACACATTTACTTATACACTTACATATTTATACAATTCTAGATAGTACTATATAACACCTGCTAAGTTACAAGAGAGACACCTATACTGGTAACACTTACATATTTACAATACTATACAGTACCATTTAACACTTATTGTATTACATTAAGTACACATATGCTGTACACGCGCATCTCACGCAGTTTACCTATTACAATATGGCTTGACAAGCAAGCCCTATCAGTTCGCAACAAACAATCAGCATTATGATTTTGTGTTTAAAAACAAAAATTTGTGATATCACCTTATCGGCGGCACATTAGTTTGCTTCAACTAGAAATTAAATTCTTCACCTTAGGGAAAAATCTTCAAATAGGGTGAATGGGAGTAATGGCTAATATGGCCTATTGCACCATCGTTCAACGCTATGTCGTGAAAGGGAGTTCATTACTGAAACTGAACTCTGATTTCTTAAGTAGCGTTTTCGATGTTACGATCGATTATGCATGATGATTATATTCTTTTATATGACAATTACTGTTGTATTATTTTGTGCCCATAGAAGTCATAAAATAATTGCATACAATTTGGAACACAATGAAAGAAAGGTATTCCTATGTAAAACATAACATAATGGATAGCAATGTCGCCAAATAAAAAATGTATTAAACGAAGAAATGCTACTGAACTTTCTGACTTTTGGACTGAATGTAATATATATAATCAAGAATGAAGTATCTCTCTCGAAAATTCTACTGTTAATAAAAATGAAGACAATTCTGTCTAAAGCGAATTTTAACTCATTCTGTGAAAGAAGGCTTAGATGATTTTAAGTAACCTTTAATCACAACTTGAATTTAACAAACTGCAGAGCTTCTAGCTGCAAAGTTAAAATTCCTCCACTTGCACGATTTAAATAAAAGAAACATAAATTAAGGAATATGAATGGATTCTTAGTTTGAGACTCCAGTATAACATTAACAAAAGTAATGCAAAAGTCGGTAATCTAGTTGCTATTTTTCTTAATTGGTGCCACAATTTTCTCACTATTTACAGACTTTCCACTAATCTAACAGGGTGGGTTTAGCAACAAAAATGATTTCTTATGAAGCAGACGAACTCACTAGGAAAAAGAGCATTATACTATATTTAAGAACTTAAATCCTCAGTTGAGGTAACGTGAAAGCATACTCGGAAGTTTATACAATTAAACATAACATAATTCTTCAACAAAATCAACTTCTACTCATGTTTATTTTCTAGTAATTCCTCGTACTCCTGTCCACAAATTTCTTCCATGTTGGGAAAAGTATTGTTCTTAAACTTCATATGTTTCACAAACTATAATCAATCAACAAATGGACTGTATTCCTACACTTTTATTTTATTACACTTGTCAGCGATGCGAAATAATTGATACAATATAAGCGAGCCATTCTAACATGGCTGTCACAAATACAATTCTATCAATCAATAATCTTGTTGCCACACATAAAGTTCAAAACTAAAAGAAGAAAAACAAAAGGAATTTACGCTGTTTGCAACAATAAAATGAAGCAAACGATACTCACATAAACATCCTGGCCCTCGTTGAAATCCCAGGGGATTTCAACAGTTGGAGCATTTTGAAACTTCTTAGTCTGTAATAAAAGATAAACATAAGAAAAATTATACAAAATATTATATGCGAAGCAGTTCATAGTTTTTCAGTCTGAATAGGAAGAGGACACAATTTCATGACTGGTCGTTTTATGACACCATGACCAGTTTTAATACTAACAACTCTGACTCTTTGATCTGAGCCCGGATGAAACAGCAATTATTCTCCCTAACCTCCATTTAAGAGGCGGAAGGTTGTCTTCTTTGATGAGGACTAAGTCATTGACTTCTAAATTGTTTTGACTTTTTTGCCATTTAGGTCTTTGTTGAAGCTGAGACAGGTATTCTCGACTCCATCTTTTCCAGAAGTGCTGAAAAAAAAACTGTTCTCACATGCCATCTGTCAATGTGATTGAAGGAACTATAATTTAGGTCTGGTTCAGGTATGGCAGTTAAAGACGTTCCTATTAGGAAATGACCAGGTGTTAATGCAGTTAAATCATTTGGATCAGCCGATGTTGGACACAATGGCCTAGAGTTGAGACAAGCCTCAACCTGCGCTATCAAGGTCTGAAATTCCGGATAGGTCAGCACAGTATCACCAACAGTCCTTTTTAGATGTAATTTCATTGACTTTACTGCCGATTCCCATAGTCCACCAAAATGGGGAGATGATGGCGGGTTGAATATCCATTTTATTTCCTCTAAAGACAAAAATTTGTGAATTTCTTGATTTTGCTTACATTGCAAAAAAACATTTTCTGATTTCTTTGTCTGCACCTTTAAAGTTAGTACCGCAGTCACTATAAATCTCAAATGGTTTCCCTCTTGCAATAAATCGTTTCAATGCACTTAAAAAATGCCTTTGTTGACAAATCTTCTACCACATCAAGATATACTGCCTTGATTACAAAACACACAAATAAGCATACGTAATAGCATTTAAATGATTTTTTTGTCCACGTCCTGCACGATGTTTAATCATGAACGGTCCAGAAAAATCTATTCCTGTTCGATGAAATGGTCGCGATTGTGTTACTCTAGATTCCGGTAGATCAGCCATTATTTGACTTGCAGTTTTAGCTCTAATTTTGCAACACGTAATACAAGATTTTACTACTTTTCGGATATCAGATCTAGCAGCTATGATCCAAAATTGCTGTCTAATTAAAGATAGAAGAAGTTCCTGTGCTGCATGCAGATATTTGACATGAAAGTGTCTAATTATGATTTCTGTCAGATTGTGTTTTGAAGGTAATAAGATTGGATGTTTTTCATTTTCTGATAGTTCAGTCTTCCTCCTACACGTAACACTTTGTTGTCATCTAAAATTGGACACAAGCTAAAGAGGTTGCTGTTTGTAGGTAAGTCCTTTCCCAACTCCAAACATTGAATTTCTTTAAAAAAGTGAAATCGCTGTATTATTCGGACAATGCAGCTCGAATTTCATTACTAGATAAAAAAGACGTATTTCTTTCTAGATATGCTACTTTAGAATTCGATATGAATCTTAATATCCAAGCAAATATGCGTTGTAACTTTGGAAATGAAGATATATTTGATATAATAGCAAGTTCCTGTACAGGTTCAGAAACTACAAATGAGACTGTTTTACGTGCATCTGGTAATGCCTCTTCATCTATAAGAATATTTTTAGGCAAGGCAATATCACTGCACTTTAACCAAGAAGGACCATTCCACCACAATTGATGAGACAATAGCTCTGCAGGAAAAAATCCACGTGAAGCACAATCAGCTGGATTTTCCTTTCCATCAGCATGACTCCAGTTCTCAGGTGGTAAGATGGATTGTATTTCAGAAAACTCTATTGGATACGAATACTTGCCATTTTTTAGGATCTGACCTTAGCCATGACAACACGATTTGTGAATCACTCCAAGCTTGCACTAAATCAAAATTTATAACTAATGCAGCTTTTACAGACTGAATCAAGCGTGCCAATAACACTGCTGCACATAATTCCAGTCTTGGAATCGTAATAGATTTTAATGGTGCTACACGAGTTTTAGCTGTTACGAGTTTAACATTAATGTTAAACTCGTAATGTTAAACTCGTAACAGCTATTGCAGTTATTGCAAGTTTTGATATAAATAACTGCTGAATAACCTCTTTCAGACGCATCACAAAATCCGTGAAGTTCACATCGAAAATAATCAGGTAGCAGAATTTTCCTAGGTATATTTATAGAATTCAAACATTTAACTTCTCTACATAGATTTCTCCAA